TTTGGCAAATGGAAAGGAATGGCTGTATCCATTCAGGAGTATTAACTGCTGCAGGATGTTGCATAGTTCCATGCACTAGGGGACTGGTACAACAGTTGATAGAGACATCCCTCACTAAAGATTATCCCACTAGGACCCACAGCAGGAGTTCAGATGGCAGGCTCTGGCAATATAAGGATGATGATTAAAAGTACCAATGAGTAGGGGCAGCTAGGTGGTGCAGTGGATAGAGCACTGGCCCTGATGTCAGGAAGACCTGAGTTCAAATCTAGCCTCAGATCAAACACTTGACACTCACTGGCTGTGTGACCCTGGGCAAGTCACTTAACCCCAGTTGCCTTAAAAAAAAAAAGTACCAGTGAGTACCCAGTGATGAAGAATGTGAAATCATGTTAAGGAGATTAGAGGATAAGGAAATTGGGAAGGCTTGGAAACCAAATCTTTACTTTAAAAATAAAAGAGGAGGAATTGTGAGAAATGAAAGTTAAGTTTCCACATAAGTAGATAAGAAATCAGACCAGGCAGGCTAACTTTTCCGTGGGGGGGGGGGAAGTGACAACACAATTCTAGACACGTATGTGCCTAGGGTGGGGCATATAAGGAAGATTGTAATCCAGAACCGGACCAATCCTTATCCAGAAGGGAGGAGTTAGGCAATTACTAAGTATAAAGCTTGCCCCGGCCTCTGCACTTGGGCTTTCTCCCCTTCCAAGGAGGTGTGCCTTCGGAGCTGAGTCTGGGGTCTTCTTTATACCAGTATAATTAGCTATTTTCAGCCATACGACGATTCAAGACAATTATTAAAGGGCTCATGAGGGAAAATGCTATTCACATCCAAAGAAAGAACTGATGGAGTCTGAATGGAAATGGAAGCCTACTATTTTCACTTTATTTTTTTCCTTTTGCTCTGTTCTTTCACAACATGATTAATATGGAAATATGTTTTACATAATTGTACATACATAACCTATACCTAATTGCTTATCTTCTTAGGGAGGGGAGAAGTGAGGAAGGGAGAAAATTTGGAACTCAAAACTTTTACGAAATGTTAAAATTTGTCTTTACAAACTGTAAAAAATAAAATACTATTTTTAAAAAAAGTATGTGTATGACTGTGAGATCAGAAGCGTGTATGTATATAGCATTCGCATGTCTGTAAGGACTTCTTGGTTCGTATCAGCACGAGCAGGACGCGCAAGCGCAAATACCCAGGAACACACGAGGGTGGGGGCGGTGTACTAGCTCTTTAGTCGGCTCTCCTTCCGCCGCGAAGGCGTTCGTGCGTGGTTACGTCCTTCCTGAGGCCGACGCTCTCCGCGGGAAGCGGCGGTTTCAAAACGGGGTAAGCTTTGCTCATGCCAGGTGCCAGCCTCAGCGGAAAGGGAGAAGGCTACGCGAGCGCCGGACAAAGGAGCGGTTCGGGTTCGGAAAAGAGCGTGGTGTAGAGCGGGACCAAGTAGAAAGGGGCCCTTCAACAGTGCCAGCGGAAGGGGGCAGGGCAAGAAGGATGGGGCGGAAGACCCGGATGGGGAGGGGGCCGCCGGGCGGAAGACCCGGATGGGGAGGCGAACCGCCGGGCGGAAGACCCGGATTGGGGGCGGGGGGGTGCCCCCTACGTAGAGGGGTGTGGCTCCTGAGTTTCGGAATTTCGCGGTCTGTGGGACTAACTCTAACAGTCGTTTCACTCATGGAAAAATTGAGGCCCAGAGGACTTGGGAATTGGCTTGCCTAAGGCCATAGGTGCCGTAGTGGATAGTGTTGGACCTAGAATCTGGAGAGACCCCAGTCACTTTATCAGCCGCGTGACCTTGGGCGAGTCACTTCATTCTCAGAAAAAGGGTAGAATAATCCCGATTGTGGGCTGTTGTGAAGAGAAGTTAAAAACACTAAAGTGCTAAGTTTTGGGGGCCCCTCCCATTTTTTGAGGAAGTATGGAGTCAGGGAAATGAGCTTTCTATTTTAGCCTCGTATGCTCAATAGTGACTGGACTCAGCCCAGATCCAGTGACTCAACTTACCTCAGCTTCAGACTCCATTTGTCAGTTTTAAAGCGGAGACACCTTCCCTGGCAAGGGTTTTTCCGAGTCCGAAGTGAGTAGCATTTTGCAAACCTCACAACAGCATATTAATGTCAGTTATTAGTCCTGCCTCCTGTGTCTCCCTTATCCAATCCACACGCGGCCAAATTGATGTTTTCAAAGAATAGGGATTCACTGTGCCGTAAACCATGCTCAGCAAACTTCAGTGATTCCTTATGGACTCTAAGTTAAAATGCAAATTCTTCTCTTTGGCATTTAAAGCCCTTCGCAGTCTGGCTCTTTTTAAGCCGAATGTACATTACAGTCCCTCACGCTGTCTATAGGGTCTAATTGACACATTTGCTGCTTTTTATATATGACATTCCAACTGCCATCTCTGCCACTGCAGACTCTTATGCTCTTTTCTACCTTTGAAACCCCTAGTATCCTTCAAGGCCTAAACTTCAGGAAGCCTTTCATAATTCCTCCAGTTTTTAGTCTTTGTCCCCAGTACTATATTTTATTTGGTACACATTTTAAAATTGCTTATTTATGGACATGTTGTAGCCTCCTGGTAGGATGTAAGCTCCTTGAGAACAAGGATTTTGTCTTTTCAGCTGGCCTGACACATAGTAGGTACTTAATCAGTGCTTATTGTATTGGATTATTATCTGTTTCATAGGAACTATCTCCTACTCATGCCTCCACATCTTTTGTTTTTGAGGTGATTTTTAAAATTCAAGGGTAGAACTTTACACTTATCCTTACTAAATTTCGTCTTACCAGATTTGCCACAAAACTCTAGGCTTCTGCCAGAATGTAAAAAGACCTTGTCACTGCCCTTCACCTTGTTTAGCAATGTCTAGATTTGTGTCATCTTGAGAATTGACAGGTATACCATTTATGGCTCCATCTGTCATTGATTAAAAATATTAAACAGCACAAGGGCAAGAACAAGCCCCTCCAATTCCACCTAAATGTACTCCTGTTTAGCCCATATATCTCCATCCTAACCACAAGCTTGACATGAGAGAGTCAAGTGCTTTGCTAAATTCTAAGCATTCCAGCTCTACAACATTCCCCTGATCTATCACTCTTATTTACCCTGTCAAAAAAATAAGTGCAGTGATTCTGGAATTTCTCTGTCCCCTTCTTTTTTTTTTCTTCCACCCTTCTCTGTCATCCTTTATTTGGCTCAAATCCTCTATTAAACTATTCTATTATTTTTTTTAAAAAAGTTTTATTGGTGTTTTGATTTTACATTATAAACATTTACAGTTGTTTTCCTTTACATTATTGTGGTCATCTTATAAATGCTTATGGTTCTGAGCATTTCACTCTGCATCAATACATACAAGTCTACCAGGATTTCTCTGAATTTGTCGTGTCTTATAGCAAAATAATATTCTACCATGTTTATGTAGCACAGCCTTTCCTCCATTAATGGGCACTTAATTTATTCCCAGTTTTTTATCATAACAAGAAAATGTTGCAATAAATATTTTTATGCATATGGTCCCTTTCCTTTATCTCTTGGAATATATGCATAGTAGTAGTATTGCTTTACCGAAGGAGAATTAATGAAAACTTATTTATTAAGTGTTTACAGTTTGTTCCACATTGTGCTAAATGCTGGGGATATATAGCAGTCCCTGCTGTCAAGGAGCTCACTTTCTAATGGGAGAAACAGCACAAAAAGAAGAGTTCAGCTGTAGGGCAGTCAGTCAGCAAGCATGTGTTAAGTGCTTAGTGTGTGCCAGGGCACTGTAAAGATGGAAAGGCTCAGTGGACCTTAGGTGTACCAGCAAGATGGATGGTGATGCATTTTCTTTCATGTTGTGTCCCACTGATAAAACCATGTATGTTTCTGAAGTCGAAAACTTTATTTTCTGGATCTTATTAAGCAGTGATTGCTGAGGTGGCTGCTGTAGCACCTGCAGAGGTAGTTGCTGAAGGAGATATATAGAGGTTGTTCCCTTGGACTTTAGCTGTAGGTAGGTAGACTTGGCTGGAAGCAGGATTGATGGTCTAGGGGGGAACCTGCTATTTCTGAGGTCCTAAGGCCAGAGACTGCCTAGTACATACTGCCTTCCTGTCTGTCCTTTAGCATACATTTCTGCTTTGGCTCGGTAATGATTTCTTCAATTAACAAGCATTTTTAAAGCACGTCTTATATGTGACAGGCGCTGCTAAACACGGGATTTAAACAAAAGTTGAAAATGATCTTTGCCATCCAAGAACTTACAATCTAATGGGGGAAATAACATGTATATAAATAGGTTTATGCAAGATACATGGAGAGGAAATATGTACAAGGTTAGAAGGTAGAGTTTAAGCTGTTGTTGTTTTTTGGTAGGCAGTTGGGCTTAAATGACTTGCACAGGTTCATCCAGATAATGTCTGAGGCCAGATTTGAACTCAGGGCCTCCTGACTCCAGGGCTGGTGCTCTGTCCACTGAGCCACCTAGTTGCCCCTAAGCTGGCTTTTAAAATTTTTTTCTTAAAACTATTTTTATTCTGAACTTGATAAATATCAACAAACATGAATATTTCCTCATACAAAGAAGAACAAAAAGTTGTATATGACTTGGTAAATTTCTAATATGTGCAACTTTTAATAAAAGCATATGTTACATCTAATAGGGTAGTTCCAACATACCCTTTATAGGGGTTGTTCCTCCTTTTCTTCCTGTTCATTTAGCTTTTTTTCAACATTAGCTTTTTCTAAAGCTAATTGCTTTAGGATTATATGACTGTAAAGACCTATTTTTTTTAATGAACCTGTATCCAGTTATTTTATTTCATTTTATTATTTATTTATTTATTTTTTAGGCAATTGGGGTTAAGTGACTTGCCCAGGGTCACACAGCTAGTAAGTGTCAAGTGTTTGGTCTGAGGCTGGATTTGAACCCAGGTCCTCCTGACTTCAGGGCCAGTGCTGTATTCACTGTGCCACCTAGCTGCCCCCACCCCAGTTATTTTATATGAAGTATAACCACATGTACTAAACGAAGGAAAGCAAGTGACTGTTGGCCACTTGCTTAGGGCAAGCAACAGTTTCTACTGAGTAATAGAGAATACTAAATTCTGTATTACTGTCCATGTATCGCTTTAGACAGGTAAGTTAACTAGATTTTTAGTTTTTGTTTGTAAAACCATAAAAATATATGGTTTATAGAGAATGATGGTATTTCACTGAGCCATCCTTTGTTTTTCTAGAGTGTCAAGTTAATGCTTTAAAATATTTATTGACCAATATTATGTGGTTTGATGAGGAGCTCTATTTCTGGTCATCCTGGACCAGAAGTATTTCTGTCCACAAGTATTTCTCTTCTTTTTTCCCAGTGTGTGTACATATATTGTATGTACCTCCAGGTACAATAGTTTAAGTTGTATTGTGAAGGAAATGGGTAACATTTATTTCCTCTTTGTCTTTTAATTTTCCAAAATAAAAATCATGATTTAAAAGTTTGTTGACAACTAATTAAAACAATTCTATATGTGAAAACTTCAGTCTAACTTGAGACTTTATAAACAATTATTTAAATACACCCAAAGATCGTTATTAAAACATATCCTAAGTCTATGTATTTAGGCAGTTGTATGGCTAGGCATTTGTGAATATTTAAATGCGCCTGAAAGAAATTCCGCTCTCCTACTTAGTAGTTCCCTCTTACCTCCAGGACAAAATTGAAAATATGTAATTTAGAACTATCATCTTTACTTTGCCTTTTGTCACTGTTCTTAATTAAAAAAACAAACAAACAACATTTGGAAGCCCAATTGCATGTATTCTAGTTCTCAAGGGGTAACAGTAATCTTGTTGCTTCCTCAAAGTGAAGTTTACTGCTTTATTAAAAAATTAAAACTTTTACATCTTTATCACATCTTTTATCATATTTCTTCTCCCTCCCCCCCTTCCCCTTTGAGGATATATGTTATCCTCAGATCATTCAGAAAGAATGAGATACTTTAAGGACATAATCTTTTACATGAATATATTTAACTATTAGCAAAAGGATGGCAAGCCTAAGAACTGATTCTCTTAGTTGCTTAGGTTAGGAAGTTGAAACAAATAGGGGCCACAAATTCAGAGTAAAAATAAAAACAGTAATGCCCTGTATACTTGAGTCCCATTATAGTAACTCAGAGATGTCTGAGTATTGTAATAAGATTCATTAAAGAAAAAATCTTTACACTTCAGCTGCAATGGATGTCAAGATTGTCTACAAAAGGAAGGAGAGACATAGTTGTAACAACATTAAGACTATTTCTTCAGGTCTGAGCCTAAAAGCACAGTCTGATCTATCATAGGTATAACAGGGAAAAACTCTCATAAAAACCTTTTAGAACAACCAGTCGTGCAACAGAGTGCCACATTATTCACAGGGTATCATAGCCAGGCTTAGGATTAACCAGATGAGAAACCTTCCTGTTTAGAAAAGAAATAGCATAGTGGGGCAACTGAGTCAAGAGGACCTTGCCATTACTTTTATAAGGCCTTCTTCTTAACCTTCTCAGTCATTTACATCCACCAGTAGAATACTGGATTAACAATAATCAAATAAGTTATACCTTACTTCATTCAGAGTAAATGAAATTACAGTCCCAAGAGAGCTCACCTCACAAAGCATATTTCACTAATCAAGTTTAGGGCAGGATACAGTTCTTTTTCTTGTTTCAATATCAATTAGTTAATAATAAATGAAAACATTTATTCTCAATACTTATTAAGTACCTACAAGGATTTTCCAAAAGCCTTCATTCAGCATCTTTCTTTTCTAATTTAAACACATTCTAGTGTAAAAAAAATCTAACATGAGAAGTTAAGAATTATCATATTCTGGAGCTTCAGACAATCAGTGTGATCTATGTCATTCAAAACCTAGGACGGCACTGACCACTGTAAGCCTCCAGATTCCCATATCCATATCTTAAGTTATTATATATTAACTCCTAAGACAAAAATGAAATCTTTAAAACTGGAGTCTATCAATACTAAGTTGGCTCAAAGATGTAACAAAGATCAGAAAAAGTGTGTAGTTAATCATCTTGTTGCACATGTGACCCTGAAGCCCTTTATGTTATCTAAAATGCTTCTTCTAATAACCCTTCAAGGTAGATGTTACTCAGGTAGCATTGAAATTATCAAGAAACCTTCTCTTTAGGGTCTGCCCTTGGCTGCTTGTCATCACAGTGGTTATCAGCAGATGTATGTATAATGCCAGCAAATTTTTCCATATGACTTCTTCCGTCTGCCTGTTTGTCTCCACTTACTCAGTCATCACTCTAGTTCAGAGTTTGCCATCATGAGAGTTTTACCAAGTATGGCCTGAGATTCAAAAATTTTACATTGTAAATAGAGTTAGGTAGTCTATAACGAAGCTACTCTTAGGGGCTGCTCTGTAGATCATTGCCTTTTTCTTGTTTCTCGGAAGTTAACTCCAAGTAATGACTTAACTTTTTAAGGAATATGGCAGATCAAATCCAGGAAGGAAGCATACATTTTCCTTTTCCCTACACTCCTTACTCTATCCAGAAGGACTTTATGGCAGAGCTGTACCGTGTTTTGGAGGCTGGAAAGATTGGAATATTTGAGAGTCCAACTGGCACTGTAAGTATGAACTTAAAAAGACTAAGAAGGATCCTGGGAGGGAACGTGGCCAATGAATCTTGGAGACAGAATTGTTTGATTCTTCTATTGCTCTCTCATTTTGATTACCAAACAAAAATAAAAAATCAAAGGGCTGTAACATGAAATACCAATTAGTGTGTTTGTCTTCTGTGACAGAATACCATCCTGTTTTGGTAACTCTACTTTCCAGTGGTTTTCATAATCTGAGTTTAGGCAAAAAAAATTTGCCTCTGTTTCTTTTTTCACTTTTGCAACTGTGAACATGGGCACAGGCCCATCAGGTAAAAAAAAAAATAGTTTTTGGGCAAGCACAAACTTGGATGAGATTCAAATTCATGAATCACGGCCCTGAGAATCTTTGTCTAGACTTCTCTTGCCTTTATCAGCATGGTTATGATGCTGGGATGCATATCAGAAAGATTGGGCTTCTTTATAGGCTATTGAAAATGTTTTGCAGCCAGTTAGATTTAAAAACAAATAAAACTTTCAACTGGAACTTTCAAGTCTTCATTAAAGGGGAAAAAGGCTGGAAGGGGGTTTTGCAGTCTCTTCCTGAAATTTAATTTTTCTTTTTTAGGGTAAATCGTTAAGTCTCATTTGTGGAGCCCTTTCTTGGCTCCGTGATTTTGAAAGAAAGAAGCAGCAAGAAGAAGCCCGTCTTCTTGATACAGGAATTGCCCCATCAAATCACTTGGAAGAACCTCCACCTCACATGTCTACTAGCCAGGAGGTTCCAGATACCTCAAAGCCTGCTGGGGAGCCTGATTGGATTGCCCAATTTGTGCAGAAGAAAGAAGAAAAGGATAAGATAGACAGACTAAGGGTAAAAAAATTTGAGGATAGTAAGAAAGGTGAACATTAAGCATGGAATTACTCTAGGTTGAAAAGGACCTCATCTTAGCCTTTATCTTTTGATTCCAAGTCAGCTTTGTCTATTGGCTCCAAGACCTAGGTTTCAGTTGATCCTTCTTTGAATTTATTGTACTTCTTAGCTCCCCTATCCTCTGCCGTTAATTAACTGTAATTCTCCATTGCTGTGATTTGTAGGGTGGTTGTCATTAAGTAGTAGCACATGGTCTTTTTCCAGGCAAGATTTTAACATTACCCTGTCTAGGAAATGACCTATCTATTTTCCTTGGCAATATGACTCATCAGCCATAACTTTAATTAAGGAGTAAATCCATTAAGAGAACATGGCTGGGGAGAAAAAATGCTAGTGCTTCTTGTCATGGGTAGCAGAGCTGAAGCTTTGAGAGGTTTAGGAAAGAGCTACAGCAGGCTAGCAATTCCAAGTGTATATCCGAAGAGATGAAGGAATAGAGAGTGCCTCTTGTGAAGATGGCAATAAGAGTTCACAGAGAAAGGCCAAATATAAGACCCTGCAGGAGCTTCTGTTAGACTTCTCTTATCCTTTAGGATGAACAAGTCAGGAGGAAGAAGCGAGAGGGGCATCTCCAACAGATACGCCACAATGCACATTTAAAATATGCAGCCAAAAGAATGGTGAGTTTAGTATCTTGAAATGGCTTAAATCTAGGTTTTTGACCTTGTGGCTTGTGGGAACCATATATTTTATTAAGTCGGAGTGGCCAAGACTTCAGCTGCTTTTCCACTGTCTGAATTGCTGGACAGTTTGGAATGAAGTATTGATCAGAGACTGCCTTCTCCAGATGAGTCTTATATGTTAACTTCTTGTAGTCATTCAATAGAAATCTATCAGCATTTGACAACCAATGGCTAAAACTTGCCCTCAGAATGGTAGGATCCCTTTGTCCCTGCTGGAAGGTTGTTCTTCCCTCTGTATGTGACACAGGTGGGTTGATATATTCCCAGTGGAGACCATATAGAGTCATCACAGTGGGACACATAGAATGTTTCAAGGGACACATAGAATGTGTTCACTTTGGTACCCAGCCATCCTAGAGGCAGAATTGAATTTAAAGAGCTGAAAAAACAAAACCACAGCCAAAAGATGAAACAAACCCCAAATGCTAGGGTTGGTCAAGTTAATGGGAGAATGAACTTCTGTCTTACTGCTGAAGGTTCCTTCCTCTAATACTTGTGATACAGAGACAAGAAGAAGAAGAGATGGAGCGCCTGTTACGCCTCAGCAAGGAGATGCTAGCAGCAGCAGGGAGTGGACAGCCAGAGGAAGAGCTTGGCAGGGAAGAAGATCTGGTTCTTGCTGAATATGACAGTGATGAGGAGAAAAAAACAGTTAGTGGGTAAGATACCGTTCCCTCATCTTAAGTTTACCTGCTACTCATAGGGAACTAGGTACTCACGGGCTCCAGCTCTTTTAACTCTTGTTTTGCCTTTGTCGTTTGTCTCCTTCTTTAGCACTTATGGATATTGGAACAAGTCGCTACCAGTGCTGTTTAAAAGAAAAAAAATAACTTATATTTCCTTCCAGTTTGTTCTCTTATATATCTTTCTTTGCTTCTTGCACCATACTTTGTAAAGAAGAAGGAAAGTGGTGAAGGAGAAGGAATGTGATTAAAACTAGTTATTTGTAATTGAAGCTATCTGGTAATTGAAGCTATCTGTTCCTATGCCATTGTCCCTTCTCTCTTCACTCAGACTCTAGTCATTAATCTTATACTGTATTTTTTTTAATTTTATGATAAGTAGATCTTCTGAGGTTGAAATTTGCATTGTATCTAGCTCCCACTCAACCATCCATCTTATAAACCCTTCCCCCCCATCATCCCTTCATGTTTCCCTGTTGAGTTTTCTGTATTTCTATGCCAAACTATGTATGTTCAACCCTCCTTTGTCCAGTTCAGATTAAAGTGAGTTTTATATGACTCCTGCCTCTCCCCTTTCCTCCTTTATAGACTAGTCTTTTTTTTTGTTTACTCCTATTCTATGAGATAGTAGGTTCTACCCCTTCTTCCTTCTTTCTCTCTTAGTATATTCTTTCCCCCTCCCATTTCTTTCTTCTCTTAAAACTTACAAAACCAAGAAAAAAAATCTTTTGGCCCTGTGGTAGTCTTTAACTCCCTCTCTGGCTCTTGAAAACAATGGAGTTATAAAAGGGACATTTATCTCTTCTCACCCAGTTATGAATGGAAAAAGCACTGTTAATTGCTTACCATATGCAAAACATTGCACTGAGTACTGGGAATATGCATAAAAAAGCAAGACAGTCCCTTATTTCAAATGACTCACTGTTAGGATACTGGCAATTTATCAATATTTTATCTCTTCCAGTTAGTCATGTGTTTACTTTTCTTTGTTTCTCTTGGCTTCTGTGTGTGTACTTCATTGTTTGCTTAGTTCTGGTCTTATCAGGAATGCTGGAAATACCTCTCATCTCTTAAAGATCCATATTTTCTTTGTAGGATTATATTAAGTTGCTTAGGTCAAGTTTGTCCCTTACCTTTTGTAATATGATATGCCTCTTCTTTATTTTTTTCTGTACTTTCTCACTTGGTGATCTCATCAGCTTCCACTGGTTTAGTTACCATCTCTCTGTAGATGATTCCCAGATCTGTCTGTCCAACTGTAGTCTCTACTGAGCTCCTGTCCTGTATCACTAACTACCTATTAAACATATTGAACTTGATGTATTGTAGACATCTGAAACTTAACATGTCCAAAACAGAATTCCCTATCACTGTCAATGGGACTCCCATCATCTCTCCTCCTTCCATATCCAATCAGTTGCACATTTTGTAGTTTCTCTAAAACATCTCTCCTATGCATCCTCTCCTTTTTTATTCACATAGTCACCAACCATGTTCAGGCCTTTATCACCACCAGCTTATACTACTGCAGTAGCCTTACAGTAGACTCCCTGCCTTCAGTCTCCTGACTCCATTTTGTCCTTCATGTGCCTGCCATGTGAGATCTTGGAGAGCAGAGACTAGTTTTGTACAGTGGTTAGTGCTTAATAAATGCTCATAGAGTCTGCTGTGTAGTTTGAATCTCAGGCTGTTGGGTTAAGCCAGAATTGTCTGTGACATCCATTTTTCAAATGGCTACTTTTTTAAAAAATTAGTTTATTTTGATTTATCAAGAATCACTTCCATAAGCTTTTGAGTTTTGAATTTTTCTCCCCCTCCCTCCCCACCTCCCTCTCCAAGATGGCATGCAATTTGATAGAGGCTATACATATACATTCCTATTAAACATATTTTCACATTAGTGATGTTGTAAATAAGAATTAGAACCAATGGGAGGAACCACCAAAAAGAGGAAACCAAACAAAAGGGAAGAAAAAAAATAGCAACTAGTGTGCTTTGATCTGCATTCAAACTCCATAGTTCTTTCTCTGGATGTGGATAGCATTTTCCATCATGAGGCCTTTGGAGATGTCTTAGATCCTTCTATTGCTGAGAAGGGTTAAGTCTATCAATGTTAGTCATCACACAACGTGGCTGTTACTGTGTGCAATGTTCTCCTAGTTCTGCTCACTTCACTCGCATCAGACCATATAAGTCTTTCCAGGTTTTTCTGAAGTCTGCCTATTCATCATTTCTTATAGCATAATAGTATTCCATTACATTCATATACCACAACTTGTTCAGCCGTTCCCCAATTGATGGACATCCTCTCAATTTCCAGTTCTTTGCCACCACAAAAAGACCTGTTATAAATATTTTCATACATGTGGGTCCTTTTCCCATTTGTATGATCTCTTTGGGATACAGCCCTAGAAGTGGCATTGTTGGGTCAAAGGGTATGCACATTTTTATAGCCTGTTGGGCATAGTTCCAAATTGCTCTCCAAAATGGTTGGATCATTTCACAACTCCACCAGCAATGCATTAGTGTTCCAATTTTCCCACATCTTCTCCAACATTTATCATTTTCCTGTTTTGTCATGTTGGCAAATGGCTACTTTTTCACTAGACCTGAACAGTTTATCATTCCTTTGAGGTTAATAAAGCTGATTTCTTGAATTCTATTCTTTGTTTAACTCCTATCTAAAGTGATTATAAAAAGAATTGTTACTTAATAGCTCATTCTTATACAGTGTTTTATAGTTTATAAAGAGTACTTATAACAGTTCTATGACATTAGTAGTGGCAGTATTATTCCCATTTTAGAGATGAGGAAACTGAGGCTAAGATAAGTTAAGTGACTTGCCCATAGTCACATGACTATGTGACTATGTCAGAACCAGGGTTTATGACTCCCAAGTGCAATGTTGATGCTATACAGTGTAGCCACTACTTGTGGCAGAGAATTTTCTTTAATGATCAAGAATACAGTATTTGCCCGGAGTAAAACACTGAGAGAATTTTGCTTCCTCATTGATTAGGAAAACTAAAGAAATGAGTAGGAATGTTGTTTATTCTCAAGGTCCAAAGAATTGAACCCAAGTATATTCTAACTTCTAGTTTGTTCAAAGTGTCACAATATCTTCTCATTTTCATTTTTTTCCAATGCCCAGGTATGGAGGTCAAGTTAAGTAGTAAAAAAAAATGAGGTTTGTATACCTTGGTGTGCTTCTTTAATCAGAACAGAGTTGTTCCCTGATGGGTCCTCTGTATTATAAAATGTATTTTTACCTCCTTTCACCCAGTGCTTAGCCACCTGACTTTGATTGTCTTCTGAAGCAGAGTTGCAACTACATTTTCCCTCCTTAGGCCCTTCTGATGTTCATCTAGGCAAACCTGGGTTTTATTGAGGAAAAAGCATTTCATTCTTTTTGTATGTATTTTTTCCCTCTGTTATGCAGAGTTCTTGAAGAGGATGATGAAGATCTGGAAGAGGAGCATGTAACTAAGGTGAGACCCAGTTACATCTTGGAGATTTTTTTGTAAGTAGTATTTTTTTGGTTGGGCAATGGAGGTTAAGTGACTTACCCAGGGTCACACAGCTAGAAAGTGTTATGTGTCTGAGGCTGGATTTGAACTCAGGTCATCCTGAATCCAGGGCCGATGCTCTATCCACTGTGCCACTAGCTGCCCCCATGTAAGTAGTATTGATTCCCACCACCCAACTAGGAAAATTTTATTGCTCTCTTTTGTTTTTACATCACTTTCATTTCCCATTATAGTCATCCCCTACTCAGAGAGCCAACCCTTATAACAAAAAATATGAGAAGAAAAACAATCTGTTAAACAGAATGGACCAACATATCAACTGAGACAGTCTCTGCAAGGTTCTGTACTTAGTCCTCCCCATTTCTGCAGAAAAGGGTAGGAGTTATATTTTTATTTCAATTAGCAAGCATTTTTTTCTCTTCCTGCCCCAACCCATTGTAAAAAAGAAAAATAAAACCCTTATAACAAATATGCATAATGAAGCTTTGGCTCTGTCCAAAAATATATGTTATCAGTCTGAATTTTGAGTCCCTCATACATCTCTGTCAGGAATTCAGTAGCATTCTACATTGGTCCTCTGGAATAATGTTTAGTCATTTCTTCCTCACTTGTATATCCCATTACATTTATGTACTACAGTTTGTTTAATTATTTCCTAATCATTGGACATCTCCTTTCTTTCTTGTTGTTTACTACTGTAAAAAAGTGCTGCTAAAAACATTTTTGTTTATATGGGGACATTCTTTCTGTTTTGTCCCCCTTGGCCTACCTAAGAGTAGGCTCTCTGGGTAAAAAGGTATTGTCAGTTTAGTCACTTTTCTTTGGTAATTCCATGGTTGGACCAACCAGTGTGTTGGGTGCCTGTGTTTCCACAGTCCCTCCAACATTGATTTTATCATCTTCACCAATTTCCTGGATGTGAAGTGAAACCTCGGAGTTGTTTTGATTTGCATTTCTCTTATTAATGATTTGGTGTTGTCTTTCATATGATTGATAATTGTAGTTCTTTTCAGAATTTTTATTCCAATCCTTTGAGCTACTTATGTGTTTAAGGAACGTCTCTTGAGTTTTTGTTTTTGTGTTATTGCTCTGTACACTTTGGATATGAGACCCTTAGTGGAGATGACAATGATGATGATTATTTAGCACTTTAAGGTTGCAAATATCTTTATATATATTTCACAACAACACTATAAGGTAGCTACTATTCTTACTCCTACTTTATAGGTAAGTATAATGAGTCTGAGAGAGATGAAACATGTTGAAAGTAATACAGATTGTAATTTGGCATGGTATAAAGGTCAAGAGATTTGAGTGTAGAAGGTAGTGTAGAGTTGAATTGATTTACCAAGGGAAGGAAACCAGTGCAGGGGTGATGACCTGAGAAAGACATGAAAGATGAAGGGGAATTAGAAGTCATGGTGAGGAAGAAGGATAAGATTAGGGGTCATTAAGGCATTCACTATTTATATTTTGAATCATTGTTCTTTCTGTTTACGTTATTGTAATCACTGTGTATATTATTTTTCTAGTTCTCTTTAACTTCACTTTGTAGAATTTCTAAGGCCCCCATTTGTGCAGTGATATTTAATCACATTCATGTATCACGGTTTAGCCATTCTGTAGTCAGTGGCTTTCTAGTTTGTTTTTAATTTTTTGTTAACTACAAAAAATGCTACTGTAAACGTTTTCATGCATATCTGGTTCTCACCTAAGATTTTTTTTTATAGCATTACATTTACAGTCAGGTCACATATTCATTTTGAGCTTTTTGTGGTACTTTGTGTAAAGTGTTCTAATCTAAACCCAATTTCTGCTTTACAGATTGCTTTTCAGTTTTCCCAGATGTTCTTGTCATATAGGCTGTTCTTCCCCAAGAGTTTTTGTTTTGGCTTTATTAACACTGAATTCTTATAATTGTTTCTGATTTTTCCTTCTCCTGTCCATTGATCTATTTTTCTATAACTGGTATGAAATAGCTTTGGTGATTACTACTTCATAATATAATTTGAGATCTGAAATCATTGTTCTCCTTCATTCTTACTTTTTTTTCATTATTTTCCTTGAGATTTTAAATCTTTTGTTCTCCCAAATGAATTCTGTTATTATTTTGTCTGTCTCTAGGAAGTGTCCTTTTGATAATTTGATCACTATAGTACAAAATCTGTTCATTTAGATAGTATTATATGTCTTGGGGTATTTTTAATATGATTAGCTGCATTATTTTCTTAATGTTAAACATCCTTGCATCAGAAGTTGATCATAATGAATATTTTTTGTATATATTGCTGTAGTCTTTTTGCTAAGATTTTATTTAAATTTTTGAATTGATGTTTATTATCCTTTCCTGATTTAAGAATTGATACTATATCTGTCTCATAAAAGAAGTTTTGTAAAGTGTTTTCTTGCCCAATTTCTGAGAATAAATTGTATAATATGGATATTAGTTGTTCTTTGAAAGTTTCGTAGATTTCACCTGTAAATTCATCTAGATCAGGTTTTTCTTACCTTTGGTAATTAGTTAGTAGCTTACTTCCTTTGGTAGCTTAGTTTTATTACATGGCACATAGTAAGCACTTAATAAATGCTTGTTGACTTTTTCTGAAATTGGATTGAGATTTTTTTTTCATGTTTTGCTAATTTGGCTATGTTATATATTTTGAATTCTCAGTTTTGCTAGCATATGGTTATGTAGGTTCTTTATCAGAACATGATTTTTATTTATTCTCTCTTATTTTGTTCATTTTAAGATGTTGTTAATTTGATTTTCTTCCTTCATCTACTTTTAATTAGGTTAGCCAAAATTTTATTGTTTAGTGGATTTTTTTGGTTAGTCTTTCAAAAAAAATGTTTTAAGTTTTGCTTTTTAATGTGTAGTCATTTTGCTTTTCACTTTTTACTTAAGTTTTTAAGATTTTCTCTTTTGCATCCATTTTGGGTTTGTCCATATGTTGATTTTTTTCTAATTTTTTAAATTGAATATTTAGTTCATTAATTCTTTCTTTTCTGATTTGATAATGTATGTTCCCAGATAAATATTTCTTCTGAGGACTTGTTTAACTTCTTTCAACTTTCTAAAATCTCAGAGATTTTGTTTTCTCATATCCTTATTATTCTTTTTCACATAGTTATTGTTTCTATGTTTTTTTCTTTTATCCATTCATGTCAATATTTATTTAGGTCTTTATGTTTTGCTTATGTTTCCTAGTATCAATTACTATTTTTATTATGTCTTTAAAGGATGTGTTTACTGCTTTTGCTTTTTAAAATTCATTTTAAATTTTTGCTGGGGCTGAAGGTTGAATTTAGGGAAATTTGGATTCTTCTCATTAAAAATGGCAGAGAATGGTTTTTTGCCAAAGGTTTGTATAGAATTATAGGATCAAAGAGTTAGCGTTAGAAGGACCTTTGTTGATCAGTTGTTTCAGTCATGCCTGACTCTTCATGATCCCATTTGGAGTTTTTTTGGAAAAGATGCTGGAGTGGTTTGCCATTTCCTTCTCCAGTTCATTTTACAGATGGGGAAACCGAGGCAAACAGGGTTAAGTGACTTGCCCAGGGTCACGTGACTAGTAAGTGTCTGAGACCAGATTTGAACTCGGGAAGATGAGTTTTCCTGACTTCAGGTCCAGTACTCTATCCTATGTGCTACCTAGCTGCCCAGAAGGACCTTTGAAAGTTATCTAATTGAACCCCCTCACTTTATAGGTATAGAAATTGAGGTACTGGGGGGGGTCAAATGATTGCCCAGGGTCACTCAGTAGTAAGTGGCAGAGCAGAGTTTCAAGTCCAGGTCTTCCATCTCTGCAGCCATTGCTCTTCCTGTGGCATCCTGTACCTTCTTTGTGGGCAGGTCCTTTCCTTTTTTATTCCTTTATATCTCCAGGTCTCTTGCTCTATGTTTTAATTATTGGAAAATCTGCTTGAGATGTCATAGCCAATTCTTTGAAATTCATCCCTTTCTTCAATCAGATTTATTACTGCAGCCGAACACACTCTCAGCTGATGCAGTTTGTGCATGAGGTACAGAAGAGCCCCTTTGGTAAAGAGACGCGACTTATCACTCTCGGTTCCCGGCAGGTGGGTGAGAGTCAAGACATTGGGGTTCCTTGTTTTACCTGTACATTGTTGCTTGATCTCTGACAAGTAATTTCCCTCATAGAATCTTATCTGCCACCCAGTTCACTGTAGGAATGTAGGGCTTAAGCTTTAGAGAAAAGTACATGAAATTTGAAAATTGGCTTTTGGTATTTTCTGAACTTTTCCCAGATACCCAGTGACGCTCTCAGGTTTGAGAGTTCTTTCAGTCCTTTTTGCCAAAGAATATGCAAGTCCTGGCAAGTAAAGTTTACTTTTCCTTCTGTCTTGTAGAACCTTTGTGTGAATGAAGAAGTAAAACGCCTGGGGTCAGTCCACCTCATCAATGACCGCTGTCTGGAGATGCAGAAAAACAAGCATGGTAGTACCTCCTGTGACCTATGGGATAAGACATGATGTAGATAAAGCACTTTGCAAACCTTACAGTACTATGATTGAACCAAAAAAAAAAAAAAGTAGAGATGAGTAGATAATTGAAGGAATAAATAAAAAGGGTTTGTGGCAAAGTTGGACTGGGAGTGCTAAGAACAACAAACAATGAGCCTAATAGAAATATGATGGGGCACCTAGGTGGTACGGTGGTTAGAGCACTAGCACTGGCATCAGCCATGACTTGGACCCACCCAGAAGCCAAGGGCCACACTTTCCTAGAGAGGACGTTCAATGGTCACCCAGGGATGACCTCAATAGGAGAAGGGATGTTATCTGGCCATATATTTCCTTTATTTTTGGGGGGGTAGGGGGAGACAATAGGGGATAAGTGACTTGGCCAGGGTCACACAACTAGTAAGTGTCAAGTATCTGAGGTCGAATTTGAACTCGACCTCAGATACTTGACACTTACTAGCAAGTGTGGGTGAGGAATTGAGAATGATACTGAAGGCTACCTCAGTGACTAAGAGAATGGTGGTGCCCTCAGGAGTAATGGGAGAATTCAAGAGGAAAAAGTGTTGGGGAGAAAGATTAGTTCTGTTTTGGCCATGTTGAGTTTGAGATGTCTAAGAGACCATTGGAAATGTATGACCAGCTCAGCAGAGAGACTAAGGCTGGGAGATGTAGATCTGGGAATCATCTGCCTAGAAATGATAATTTGACCCATAGATGCTGAAAAGATTACTAATTGAGATAGTATAGAATAAAAAGAAAATGAGGCACAGGACAGAGCTGTGGGGAACATTAATGGTATGTAGGCAAGAGATGAAGAATCAATAAAGAAAATGGAGGAGAGGTAGGCATACCAAGAGAGAGCAAAATCATGAAAGCCTGGAGAGGAGAGAGTATCCAGGAGAAGAGAGTGATCAGCAGTGTCACATACTGTAGTGAGGTCAAGGAGGGATGAGGATTGAGAAATATAAGACAGATTTTTTGGGACCAGCAAATGTGGGAATTTGTTTGGCTTAACTACAGACAGTTCTTGATTTACATAAACTTGTATTGCAAATTCAACTTTATGTAAATCATTCTGAAAGAAATCCATATTACCAAAAAACCCTATATTAACTTTACAGTACTGTTTGCTCTCTCTCCACTCCTGCCCCTCAGTTCAGCGCTTTGTAGCCTCTCACTGCCCCCCCCCAAAAAAAACACCCTTCAAGTGAATGCAAAAGAATAAGTGTAAGGGGAGACTACCACAGATGCCTCCAGCTGGATCTTGGGCTTGGCTTGAGACCTCTGACAGGTGCCAAGAGAGAAGATTTTTACCTTGCTCTGCCCATGTGTCTGACCAAAATATATCTTGTCTTCTGTCTCTCCACTCCAGTACTATGTGACTATTCCTGGACCCCGCATGTCACTTACCCCTCCTGTCTGTTTCTGTGTCCAGCCTCTGTGTCTGCCCCACCCCATTGTGTTCTTCCTCTAGGTTCCAGCCAGGCCCCTCCCCACCATAATCGTCCTATTCTTGTTTCTCTTTCTCTAGCCCCCACCTGTCCTTGAACTATGTGATGGCCCCCTCCTTCCACAGGCAGGTGCGCAGCCCCCTTCCTGTCTCCCTTCCTTCCTCTCTCTCCTCCCCATTTCTGTGGGCAAATTCGCATTTTATAAAAATTGCTTTATATAGAGGTCTGGAAAACCGTCTTCTTGCCACTTTATGTAGACATCTGTGGAATGGTCCACTTAATTAAAGTGAGGGCTATCTGGATGCACATTTATTAAAAGGGCTTTCTTTTTTCTTTTCCAGTGGGAGTGGACAGAAGGGATTGGGAAGGGGTAGAGTTGAAGAAAAAAAGAAAAGGAAGAGAGGGTCATTGAGGCATCTGTAAAACAAAATACAGAGAAAGAAACAAGCACTGCCAGAAAGAAGCACAGACAAGCAGAACAGCTTTGGAAGCTACAGGTTGAATTTATCATATACTTAAAAAGCAAGCTATACAGAATGGAGAGCTACATTTTCTTTAACAGTCCTCTGTTTCTGTTTTACCTCATATATGAAGATGCTTATTTTGTTTGGTACTTGTTGAGTTCAGAATAAAAATATATTTAAAACAAACAAAAGCGCTTTAAGTCCAGCCTCCAATTGGGTTGCTACACTGTTTGAATGACCTTGAAATCTTTAATGTTCTTTGCATTGGCTTTTCTCTGGGTCTAGGGACATACCAGAGCTGTGAAGCCATATCAGGTGAGGACTTGAGAAGTACTTCTAGATCTTCCATAGAAGAGTCTGCCTTGCTCTTTTTTAAGCTTGGTTATCCACTTCTTTTTCTGCCTTTGTTGCCGTTCTTGTCTTTCCCCTGTTCAGAGAAGAAAAATAAAGAGGAAGAAAAGGCAAAGAAAAGGAAAACTGAGACTCGTACTTCCTGCCCCTTCTACAACTATGAGCAGATGCAGTTTCTTGGTGATGAGGTTCTCGTGGAAGTGAAAGACATTGAGCAGCTGGTAGCCCTAGGGAAGGAGGCTCGAGCCTGCCCCTACTATGGAAGCCGTTTTGCTGTTCCTTCAGCCCAGGCAAGTACTCCTTGAGGAGGATGAAGCTCAGACTGTTCTTCTCCTCCCTTGCCTGCTTTTGAATTTAGCCCAGGCCACAAGAGATCCCTGCAGCTATGGACTTACCTTTCCCATTTAGTTTTCACTAACCTGTTGGTTTTCAGCTATTTTTTTGTCACACGCCTTTTGGGTTAGGTGTTTTTATGATTGAGAAAATTTGAGAAAACTAGACTGATACAGATTATGCCAGCATGAATTGGACTCACACTTACCGTTGTGCCTATGGACTACTCTTCTCTGAGTCTGTTTCCAGGGAAACAGAAAACAGCCCATACAATAATCTCCAACCTTTTGACTATCTTCATTGTCATAGGAGTCACAAGTATTTCTTGTGTAAAAGCCAGTGTTTTTTTAAAAAAAATTTATTAAATAATAATTATTTAAAAATCCCATCTTGCATACCTGTACATGTTTTTTTGAAGCATCAATATTACCTATCTCATTGTGTCCTAATAATACTCAGAGAGATAAGTAGGAAAGGTTATTATTTTCCCACATTCTGCACATAGGGAATTTACAACGCAGAAAGTTTAAGTGATTTGTCTAATGCTTTATAGCATATTAGTAGTAGAACCAGGATTAAAATAGCCCTTTTGATTCTTTGCTCACTCACTTTCTATTATTAGCCCATTTAGAGCTTTTACCACTACAAGGCTCAGGAGATTATACGTGGATACATTCCAGACAGAAAAAGAAAAAGTGATTCATTCACTTGCTAGCCTGTGAGCCCAGAGATTTAGAGTTTGATGCATTTGAATGAATTCCACTGACTGCTGACACAGTCTGTACCTCTCTAACCCATAGCTGGTGGTTCTCCCTTACCAAATGCTGCTGCATGCAGCTACCCGTCATGCGGCTGGCATTAAACTTCAGGGACAAGTGGTGATCATTGATGAAGCCCACAACCTGATTGATTCTATCACAAGCATCCACAGTGCTGAGGTTAGCGGTTCCCAGGTAAGTGGGTCAATGGCAATGCCATAAGGATGTATGACTTTCTCAGAAGTGTGAGTAAGGGGCCAGGGGCAATCATTTGGCAAAGCAAGAGATGTTATATCTGTCCACAGTGTTGTATGTAATTTGAATAAAAGAGTATCTTTATTCTCACACCAGGTTTAGGTTCCTTGACTTTTCAAAGCCATGCTATGACTCAGAGAAATATTGGAGTTGCTTGGTCTGTGGTCAAAATGCAGATGAAATGTCTTTTTACCTTGTTTCTCCTATATTGCCCATTATTAATTTGACCCAGTCTAACTTTGGGGAGCTCTTAAATTCTCTCTTACCACATAGGAAGTGTTACATGATCGCAAGCAGAAATGTCTCGTTTGACCTGTGTTGCAGGAAGAATTTAGAGGGCATCTTGACTGAGAACTGCCTTCTGTATCTCGTGTAATACTGACATAAGAGCAGGATAGGGTGTGGACCTTCTAGTAACCACCTTACTTTTTCCTGAACAAGCATAAGTTGTCAGAGAGTGCTGCTGTCGTCTTGGGTCCCATATTCTTGGTTTTGAAGCTAATTCAATTCAACAAGCATTGTTTACATTTCTGCTTTGTACAAAGCATTGTCCTGGGTGCTGGGGATATGAAGACTAAACAAAACAAAAAATTTCTGCCCTCAATAAGCTTACATTTTATTGGGGAGGTACAACATGTAAATAGATAAGTAGTTTCATGATAGTTTTCAGTATCTTCTTTCTCATTAAATTAAGAGTCTTTGTTAGATCTCAGGTGAACTTTCCTTTCAGTAGAAAATCTTTAGGACTTACCAAGGGAGGGAGGGAACAAGGGGACATGCACTTATTGAACATCTATTATGTGTCAGGCACTTTAAAAATATTCTCTCATTTGATTCTCATGACCCTGGGAGGTAGGTGCTATTATTATCCCCATTCTGAGTCAAGTCACACAGATAGTAAATGTCTAAGACAAGATTGGAACTCGGGTCTTCCTGATTCCAGGCTCTGCACTCTATCCATTGTGCCCCCTAGCTTGGAGCCATTTCTTGGTGATCTTGTCAGCTCCTAATGTTTAATTATCATCGTTTCATTATCATGCAAATGAGTCCTAGATCCAATCCCTCTTTCTTTTTCCTGAGCTCCATTCCTGTATCACCAGCTGTCTGTTAGACATTTTGAACTTGATGTCTCGTAGACATCTCTAACTCGGCATGTGCAAAACATTATTTGTTATCTTTGTCCAAAAACCTATAGCTCTTCCAAACTTCCTTCTTACTCTTTAGGATGGCACTCTCCCTCCAGTCTCTCAGGTTCACAACCTTGGTGGAATCTTCAATTCCTTATTCTCCTTCCATTTAACTAATCATTTGTAAAATATTGTAACTTCTTTCTGTGTGAAGTCTTTCCAATATTTTCCCTTAGCTTAGCTTACCCAGACACCACCTTAGTTCATGTCCTCATCACCTCTTGCCTAGGCCATTGAAATAATTTGCTAATTGGACTCCATGCCTCAGGTCACTCTGTGTTCCAGTCCATTCTCCATGGAGTTATCAGTCATTTTCCTAAAGTGCAAGTCTGACCATGTCACTCAGCAAACTTCCTATTATTTCTAGAATCAAATATAAAGTCATTTGTTTAGCATTTAAAGTTCTTCACAACCTGACACCTTTGTGTTTTTCCAGTCTATTATATACATTCCATGGTCCAGCTACACTGTTGTTGTTCACAAATAACACCCCAGCCCCTTTCTTCATGCCTTTGCACTTGGCTTCCCTCGAGCCTGGAATGTTCTTCTCCCTTTACTTCTGCCTCTTAGAATCCTTGGTGTCCTTCAAGACTCAACCACCTGCCACCTCTTCTAGGAGGCCTTTCTCAGTTCCCAGCTCTTATTGCCCTCCCCTCTAAGGCTACCTTTTATAGAACTACTCTGTTCATATCCTGTATGTACCTATTTATGTACATGTTGTCTTCTCCATTAGAATGTAAGCTTCTTGAGGGCAGGGACTGTTAGCACTTAGCACAGTGCCTGACACATTGGTAGATAATAAGATTAATAAATGCTTGTTGATTGATTTAGCCCATACTGCATCTATGCCCGGTGCTTCTCTTTAATTTTCTTTACTCATGTGAGTCCTTGACTGCTATACTGAAGGCCTGGTTGGAAGTTTCACTTTTCTATGATGCTGCCTCAGCCCTGGGTAACTCACCCTAGGATCAGGTTTTTCTTTCATCGTCATTTTCTCTGTTCACTCCTAGCTCTGCCAGGCTCACTCCCAGCTGTCTCAATACATGGAGCGCTACAGGTGAGCTTCCTCTAGAGGTACAAATGGACATGACTTCTCCTAAGTCTTAGCTACCACAAGTTGGAAGACTTCTAAGTATATTTTCTCTTGTGCAGCGCTGGAGCAGAACCTTTGCTGAGTAGATAGTAGCATGTGTCCCATTACAGGCCTGTGGTTAATTTGAGCTTATGCTTAACCCCATTACTAAACTACTGATCACTTAAATCCTTAGACATTGGGGGTCAGCTTTTCCCTTGGGGGTTCCCTGTGGTGGGTTGCCCACTTGTAATGGTTTCAGACAAAAGGAATTTGTTGATGAGCCAGAGAACCAGGGCTGGGGGTGTGGATGTATTATTTTCAGGGTAATTGATGTTCATTGGCTCTTTTATAGGAAACTTTTGAAGGCCAAGAACCTGATGTACATCAAACAAATTTTGTATTTGCTGGAGAAATTTGTGACTGTTTTGGGTGGTAAGAGAAGTTCTATTTTTATCTAATCCACTAAACTTCTAAACCCAATGATCCTTTTTCTTTTTTTTTTCTTGTTTATTTACCATGGCATGTCCCTCATCATATAGGCCACATAATGCTTGAGCCAGGCATTCCAGACTCCTGGGTTCTGTTGACTTTATAATTGACTCACTATGTGGCCCCAGGGTTTGTTCTTTAGTTCTCCTTGTCCCTCTGTAAAATAAGATTATCCTGCTTTTTTCCCTGCCTCAAAGGAACGTTGTAAAAAGAAGATGAAATCTAATAGTCTATGAGTTCATTTAGGGAACATGTCTTACTGTTTAGTGTGTGTGCGTGCGTGTGCGCTTGCATGAATGCATGTGTATATTGGTTCCCTTTACTGTCACTGAGCATTTAGGTGAGTTGGAGCAATATAGAGTAGCAATCTCCTCATGTCATGGCTTGATTTTTTTTTTTTCAAGGAAATGTGAAACAGAATCCCAACACTCAAAACCTCTTTCAAACAGGTAAGAACAAGTTTAGTTGAACTAGGCCTGAAGAGGATTTTGAAACTGAGATCTGCAGAGCTCAGAAATACTAGGAACCTTCATTTTCTTTACTCTTAGGGACTGAGTTAAAGACCATCAATGACTTCCTGTTTCAGAGCCAGATTGACAATATCAACCTGTTCAAGGTAGAGTTTATGTGTGTGCCAGGTGTGTCCATTTGTAGAATTTCTGTGATCTGTGAAGTTCTACTTTGCAGTCATTCAAAAAACTTTGATCAGTCCTGACTTATGTACAAATAGATCATTATCCTAAATCCTATGAAAGAGATTCTGTACTGAAGTAGTTTGAGGTCTAGTTGGGAAAACATAATAAATATATTTAAAATGGATTTAAAACACTTAAAAGTAGTATATCAGCAAATGCAAAATATATGAACCAAGAATGCCAAAGGTATATAAAAGTGTGATCATAGGTAGTTATGGTTTATCCCATAGGATAAACCAGGGAAGACATCTTCTGTATTTAAAGATCCCATTGGAACCAAGAGGTTAATAAGAGTCAAATCCTAACCTATCACTAAAATTAATCAGAATGATGATAAAGAATCATCTGGAGGTCTTGTCTACTATTCCTTTTCCTGTCTTAACCCTAGTGAACCCACTTTCCTTCTGGTTTCCATATTTTTGCAGATTTCTTCCTATTCAGGTCCCTTATTTGTAGTTTTCTATTGGATATTTCCACCTAGGCAACTTCTTGGCACCTCAAATGCAGTATGTCTAAACCAAATTTATAATCCCTCCCAAATCACTTCTTCCTCCTCATTTCCCTGTTTCTGCTAATGGTACCACTTTTTAACCTATTCACTTTGGCTGGAAACCTCAGAGTCATCTCTATCTTCTTCCTTTCCTGATGTCCAGTCAGCTGTTGAGAACTGTCCGTTATGGAGGGAATTCCTGTGGATTGGTCTAGATGACTTTTGAGGTTTCTTCTAATGCTGAGATATCATGATTTTGTACTTCTTCCTGTGCAATGTCTCAAATTTTTTCCTTGGAAAAGAAATCCTATACCAACCTTTAACATCCCAGTTCAGGCTTTTGTTAGTTACAAACACCAAACTTATTTTACTATAAACTTAATGTTCAAAATAAACTACATTTAATTAAAAATTGACCCAAATAAATGGTAATTTTCTAAACAGTACTTTCTAAGAGTAATTTTTCTAATTCTTCCTATTTGAACCATTTACATCTTATATATGGAGAGATAAAAAGTAAAAACAAAAATATATATCTGTACTGTTGTTGCCTTCTAAATGGGGCCTTGAAACCCCATTAATTCTATTTCCTTTGACTTTAGAAAAGATGATTGCATTCGCTGTGTAGCATATGGTCTGATTACTGTTCTTCTGACCTGAACTTTGTAGGCTCCCGGCCTTGGTTTGGGGCCAGAGTGATGTAGCAGCAAGTCCTAGATGTCCGTGGCTTACCTTTGTTCATGTACTAGAAGGCTTCCATGTGCTATGCCGCTGGACCCACGTGCTTTTTGGGGTCAACCTCTTCCCTAGTGCTTATAGGCTGCTGGCTGCCTGTGTCAACTCAACCTGGAAAAAAGAGGCCCCTTTGATTTCTTGAAAGCAATTGCCTCTAAAGGATTCAGTGTGATTGGGCTGCAACACTGAAGAATTTTAATGAAGAACAAGAATAAAAGGTGTCACCTAGACAGCCTGAGTGCTCCATTGATATCCTTAAGGTATAGGGAGAAAGTGAGCAAGGCCTCTAGTAGATTGGGTAAACTCTGATAAATTGGAGAGGATATAGACAGGAGTCATACAGGATGGTCAGGCCAGGGGATTGGATATAAGAAATACCCAATTCCATGAGATCATTGATGCGAGTATTTGAGTTTTTCTGCTTTGTCCATACTATCTACAATTTTGTCTTAACCAGAAATTTTTAGCCTGTGTTCCAATTCTTCTTACATATTTCTGTAAAATTTATATTCCTAAAATATACTTCCTTTGATCAAAAGCCTTGAATAGGCTCCCATTACCTACCAATAAAGTTCAAACTCTGTATCTTGGTGTGCAGGATTTATCACACTTTGGCTGTAAGTCACTTCCCAGCCTTATCCTGTGCTAACTTCATTCTCTATGTCTTATATCCTGATTAAGCTTAGCTACTTACCCAGTTTTTGTATTTTTTTTTTACCATATCTGCACCTTTCCAGAAGCAGTTCCTTCTATTTGCAGTGTACTGGCTTTTATTAATACTTATCATAATTTTCCAACACATCCTTCAAGATCCAGTTCAAAAGCTTTTTCTTCGAAGTACCCTTTCCTGAATCCTCAGGTGGAAATGACCTCTTAATTCCTTGGAGCCCCTTATAGTACTTTGTACCATTTGTGGCACTTAAAGTCTTGCCTTGCCTGAGTTATTGGTGTACTTTGTACCTAAGGTGCCTTGCAGTGGTAGGTACATAAAATTTATTAAATTAAATTAGGACAGTCAATAGGAAGAAGATCAGGGGTGGGAAAGATGGGGTTAGTTCCTAAATAGCAGAGACATTGGAGTGTTCTATAAAATAAGGGCATTGAACTAACTATATGTACCTTGAGGTTCCGTCTATTTTGAGAGTGTGATCGTATGAACCACTACCCTTTTCTGGGATCCCATTGTTTTGAACAACCTTCCTTCCAGGGTTTATTTATATTTTCCAAGGCGAAAAAATTAACAGTGCCCTGAAAATGTCCATTCTATTACTCCCTTCTAATGTCATTCCCTCTTCTTGCACATGAAGCCTTCCCTTTAGGTATAATTTCCATTCCATGGAAATTTACTACCTCATAATGACTTCAGGAAAGAATAGTGTTGAAGTTGGCAGCTTTCATATAAGCTTGGTGTGTTGGGGGATCTTTGGTACCTACCCTTTTATAGAGATGTTCTTCGAAGAGAAAAGGTGTGCTTATTTGGCTTGGGTATTTTGGTGTGAGAAGGTGAATTGAGTATAATCAGTTTGATGATTAATCACCTAGGTGTTTTCTTTTTTATTTCTTCAGCCATTTGGCTGTTTCACTACTAGGTTGAACTTTCACTAGAATGAGCAGAAGGGAGTCTATTTTATCATTTGTCAGTAACCCTGAGAACATTTTGACATGAAAGGTTGAACTTCCTGGCTAAAATAAGACTTAGATTCTTGGGAATATCAGTGCTACTGCTATCCTTCACTAGTATTAACATTTGGGACTTGGTACTAGTTCCTTGTTTCTACAGGTACAGCGGTATTTTGAGAAGAGCATGGTCAGCAGAAAGGTAAATACTTTCTCTTTTTATGGACATCTTCCAGTTTAGATGGGCTTTATTGGCCAGGTTTGGGGTACAAGGAAATGGTGTTCATTTCCCTGACTAGTTAGTATCTTGTTGGTCCTTTGGAAATGCAATTTGAAACTGTTCTTTCCATCCAGAAGACTTTACTAGGTAGGTCTCCACCTTCCTCCCCCACCCCTCCTTCCTTTTTTTAGGCAACTACCTCCAGTGTGGTTATACTTGGAGGCATTAGACTGTAGTTCTGGTACTTCCTAGCTGTATGGTCTTATACAATGTATTTAATCTTCTCTGAGCACCAGTTTCTTCACCTGTAAAATGGGTATATTTGTAATTTGCCCCAATACAGCTATTTGGATTCACCAAGGAATATGGTGGTGTCTCTATCCTTCCACCTTCTAAAGAGCAATCCAAGTTGACTGGTTTCCAACACTTCTTGCAGAGCCTTAAGCCTGGGACTGGAGGTGAGTCAGGGTTAGGAAGAAGCCAGGTTCCAAATCCTGGGGCAGAAGAAATGGTTAACAGCTTCAGGAAGGTTTTTCCTCCTCCATTTTAGACACCTTCCTTTCTGTTTTGCAGCAGCTCCATCATCTTCTTCTGGAGAGGATGAGAGCCAACCACCATGGCTTGGCTCTCCGTTGATGCAGATTGAAAGCTTCCTTGCAGCTCTTACCACTGCCAACCAGGATGGCAGGGTAATTGTGAGCAGACAAGGTAATCCTGCCTCCGCACCTCGGCCTCTTGTAGCTAGGTTGTAGCCAGTGGAATACATGAGTAAAGATTCCCATTTTTCTTTCCTGAAGTCATTATGAGGTAGTAAAGAGTTAAGGTCAGTCTCATGTATTCCACATGGAATGGAAATTAAACCTAAAGGGAAGGCTTCATGTGCAAGAAGAGAGGAAATGATATTAGAAGGGAGTAACAGAATGGGCATTTTCAGGGCAGTTAGTTTTTTCGCCTTGGAAAATGTAAGTAAACCCTGGAAGAAAAGTTGTTCAAAACAATGGGATCTCAGGAAAGGGTAGTGGTTCATAGGATCATACTGTCCAAGTAGAAGGGACCTCAAGGTACATATAGTTAGTTCAATGCCCTTATTTTATAGCTGAGGAAAGTTAGGGAAGTTAAGTGACTTGCCCAAGGTCACAAAGTTAGTAAATGTGAGAGGTAGAATCAGAACCTAGAGTTGGCATTGTTTCCCATGTATCCTACTGTGGAACATCCTCAGACCCTATAGTGGGGAAAGTATCTGTTGTTCTCTGTGTCCAGGTTTCTTGCTGTAATCAAGCAAAAGGTATCCATGGGGTTGAACACTCCCTATTCTCATGAAATTGCCTTCCCATCTCCTTTCTTTAGGCAGCCTGAGTCAGAGTAGCCTCCGATTTCTCCTCCTGAATCCCTCGGTGCACTTTGCCCAGGTGGTAAAGGAATGTCGGGCAATGATCATTGCTGGAGGCACCATGCAGCCGGTGAGGACTGTGGGAACATCTTGTGTTTAGATCACTCTTCTGGTACATGTGGTGGATGGTAACCCCATGCCTGGGAAAGGTTGGCTAGAGCCAGGGTGAGGCTTTGTCCACAAGGTGGCAGTGCTCCCCTGCCCTTCATCGCACCTCTCAGCTTGTTGGTGCCTGCCTCCTGTGTATGCCTCAGCAACTTATGGACCCTGACTTTCTCCCTGAGGAATCGCCTGTTTTTGTGTTCCCTCACTCTTGCTACTTGACCCACCACACTGCTCTTCCATACCCACCTTAGAGTATTCAACCTGTTTTTTCCCAGTAAAGTCAGAGGAGTTAGGTTCAAATTTTGGGTCTTCTTTCTTTTTATTAGCACAGTGACTTGGGGAAGTTGCTCACCAGATCTCTTTCCTCATCTGTAAAATGCCAGGGTTGCACTAAGTGATCGTCTGATTCTCCCCAGGTTCCCCACCTCCTACCTCCACACACATTTGTACCCTACTTCCATTGCCATCCCACACAACTCAGCCTCATGGTTCTGTCTTTCTCTTGTCCCCATTGTCTCCCATTGATCATTGGCTTTCTGTATCTTGGTTTTTATTTAGGTGGCTGATTTTCGTGAACAGTTGTTACAGTGTGCTGGGATTGGAACAGAGCGTGTGGTTGAGTTTTCCTGTGGTGAGTATTCAGGCCCAAGATGGGGTATTTACTGAGGGGCATTTACCCATTGGCCATGGCTTTACGTTTTGGGACTGTACAGTTTGAGGGCTCTGTGACTCAGGTCCTTAATTGCTTCCTCTTTGACCTTGTGTCCTACTTCCCAGGCCTGGCTCTGATAGGGATTAAAAACTCTGACTTCACCCTAACTCTGCTTGCACATGGTAGCAGGATAAGCTCAACAAAAGGTTGGCTCATCCTTGGCTAACTTTCTTCCAGTAATGCACTCTAAAGCCCATGCTTCTGTATTCCTCTTCTCCACCCATGTTTTCATAGTTCATAGATTTGAATTTTCCCCTAGAAGAGAAAGACCTACTCTTCTATATTGTCATCCTAGATCTCCTCCGGAACGACAAGATAATTTTGCTTAAGTTCTACCTCTAGCTATAGCTTTGGTCTTCATCTCAGTCTTTATTTCTGGTTTTCATCAGGCCACGTAATCCCACCAGACAATATTCTACCCATTGTCCTTTGCAGTGGGCCCTCTAATCAGCAGTTGGAATTCATCTATCAGAAGAGAGAACTGCCTCAAATGGTCAGTACCATTCCACTTGTAGGAGAAAAATTATTGTAGAGTGGAGGGAGTAAAAACTATTTTGACTGAAGGGAGAGGTGAAGGGAATAAATATTTATATAGTACCTACTATATGCCAGGCACTGTGCTAATGTTTATTACTTCATTTGATTCTCAGAACAGCCATGCAAGGTAGATGCTGTTATTATCCCCATTTTATAGTTGAGGAAACTGAGGCAAGATTAAGTGGCTTACCCAAGGTCACAGCACTAGTGTCTGTGACCACATTTGAACTCAGGACTTCCTGACTCCAGGTCCAGCCCTGCGTCCACTGTGCCTCATAGCTGCCTCAAGAAGAGAGATTAGTTTAGAATTGTATCTGTCTTTTAGGGTCAGGCATCGAGTTCCTCCATTGCTCAAGAAGATTGATGATGTGTACCAAGTGGGGAAGGAATGGGAGGGGACCTTTTTTCTTCCCTCTTTAAAAAAACTCTAAATTCTAAAACCCAAGGATTTTTTTGGATGAAGCAAGTGACAAAGCTGTCATTGAACCCTACCCCTTCTGCTCCTTTACCACATACTTAAAAACTAACCCTGCCCTTGACGCAGTAAAGTTGATAGGGTATCTAATGCCATATCTAATAACTGGTTTAATTATTGCTGGAAGGTCCAGAACAAGTAAAGGTGGAGTGGGAGAAGACTCACCAGCATATTCCAAATTTGTTATATCTTTATCAGCATTTTAAAGTTGTCAGTACTTCACCGTTTACTAAAAAGTGCCATTTAGGATCATAACCTGTGCTTCTTTGCCCCAGGATGGTTATCTTCTCCCACACTTTCTCTTACTGACTCCCAGATTTCTTTAGGCTAGTGATTTTTGTGGCTTTGTTGAAAATCCTGGCTTGGACAGTGTCTCATCTAGCCATGGGCTGTTGGGGGGTGGGGGTGGGACTTCCTGTTTCTCCCTTTTCAGATGGATGAAATTGGCCGCATCCTCTGCAACCTATGCAATGTGGTCCCTGGGGGTGTGGTCTGCTTTTTCCCCTCCTATGAGTACCTGTACAAGGTACAAGCACATTGGGAGCAGAGTGGTCTGCTGACTCGTCTGGCAGTAAAGAAGAAGGTGAGTCTATTTCTAGTCTGGCCCCACAGTTAAAACAAAAGCATCTACCGAATGGCCTTCCCCAGAGATCTTGCAAATATCAGACCTCTGTTTCAGGTCTTGCTATAGGTCCACAGGGGTGGGGAATCTGTGGCCTCGAGGCTACATGTGGCCCTCTAGGTCTTTGGGTGCAGCCTTTTGACTGAGTCCAAGTTTTACAGAACAAATCCTTTTATTAAGGGGATTTGTTCTGTGAAGTTTGAATTCAAGGGGCTGCACTTGAGAACCTAGAGGGCCACATGTGGCCTTGAGGCAGCAGGTTCCCCACCCATGGATAGGAGTTTGTTTTCCCCCAGTCTACTTACTCTCCTGTCATTCTGGTTTGTAATTTCCTTGGAAGCATCTACATGGTCCAAAGGATCATCGTCTCATAAGGGTGAATAACACCCATAAAGTGTTACTCAGAACACAGGGCTAGGGAACAGGACTAGGAATCCTGTGATCCTTTAGCCCTCTTCTTGGTTTATATATATTTGTCCCAGATATTTCAGGAGCCTAACAGAGCAAACCAGGTGGAACAGGTGCTGACTGAATACTCCAAGTGCATTAAGGTAAGAGGTATAGTTGTAAAATTGTAAGGCAGGGTTATGTGGATATGTATAAGTGCCCCATAATAGTTGATCATGAGTAACATCTGAGCTCCTTCAGGGCAGGGACTCTGTGCCTGTACCTCACAATGCCTGGCACATAGTAAACACTTAATACATTCTTTTTGATTCATTTATTGAACTAATGTCTGATTAAGCAGCTTCTTGATCTGGGATGTTTTTTCAGCGATGCAGCCAAGTGAAAGGTGTGATGACTGGGGCTCTTCTCCTTTCCGTGGTTGGAGGGAAGATGAGTGAAGGGATCAATTTCTCTGATGACTTAGGGCGGTAAGTCTAATCTCTGGTCCTTACTCCCTTCCTTCTCCCCCTGCCCTCCAGGAGCTGAGAACCCAGGTCTATGGTCTGGTTGTCGTGGTTGGCAACAAAATCTTTAAGCCCAGTGCCACCAACTCCCTTTTGCCTAAAATCGTCCATTGGTGGTAGAAAGGCCTGAGGCTGTGAGATTGGATGAAGCTGTATGGAAGAGTGAAAGCTGGACTGGGTGTGTCCATATCTGGATTCAGTCCAGGTGAAACCAGGGTTAGGTGCCTACTAAGTATAATCTAGGAGGAGGGACTGTTAGGGTGTCGGTCAGATCCTTCCTCATTTTAGGCTTGGGGAGAACCAGGCTGGGACCTTCTTTCACGTGGTATAGCAAGTGGGATGAGTGCACTTTGATTCAGGAGGCATCTGAACTCAGATTCCACCTTTGACACTTACTTGTTTTATGATTATGTGCAAGTCATTTAACCTCACCAAGCCTGTTTCTCTATCTGTAAAAGGAGATAATGCATGTGGTACAGTGCTTAGTAAACCTTACAGTGCTAGGTCTAATCCCTCTGAAGGTGTGTGGTTATGGTGGGCATGCCCTACCCCAACATCAAATCCCTGGAGCTGCAAGAGAAGATGGCGTACCTGGATCAGACCCTTGTGAGTGTCTCTTCTAGTCATTGTTACTAATTCTTTTCCCAAGCTCACGTCCTCCTCAGGTTCACCTTAATTTGGGCTGGATGGGATTATGAGGCTATGCTGGCTGTGAAGAGTTGGGTTGTTCATAACTGTGAACAGGCTCAGTGAAGTTCCCTAGACTGCAGAAAGATTATCTTGAGTCTATCACCATTTTTATACTTTACAGCCAGCCATGACCTCCATAGTGCCACCTTAGAGCTCTGATTAGGAATAGGAATAATAGAAACAGTCCTCTTGGTCTCTCTCTTCTGTGTCATGGGGTCACATGTATGGGCAGAGCATATATATATATGTGTGTGTATATATATATATGTATATGTATATATGGATCTTGAACTATTTTTCAGTCTTCGTTATGGGAGTATCATTATCCTTAGGGATACTGAAGTAAAGGGTATAAGGAACAGGCTGGGTTCCTTGTTTAAAAACAGTACTGATACCTTCTCTCCATTTCCCCAGCCCAATAGCCCAGGGAAATCTTTGATTGAAAACCTGTGTATGAAAGCTGTCAACCAGTCTATAGGTGAGCCTGGCATGCATCCTGAATACCAGGATTTAGCATGGGTGGTAGGTAATAGAGGAAACAAGGGTGGGAGGAATTTAGTTTTGCTCGTTTACTGTCACTTGGATTAGGGTGGTGGTTCAGAGTGATCCCTTAGAAAGACATTGGGTTCTGTGCAGGACAAATGGGATTGCAGAGCTTTTGAGTCTTTCTCACTCTGAGCCCTTGCCTTTTCCCAATTCAGGAAGAGCCATTAGGCATCAGCAGGACTTTGCCAGCATCCTGCTCCTGGACCAGCGTTATTCTCGTCCATCCATTTTGGCCAAACTGCCTAGCTGGATCCGAGACCAGGTGGAAATCAAAGCCACATTTGGGCCAGCTTTTGCTGCTTTGCGGAAGGTAAGTCCTCTCCCTCTCTTCCCTCCCTGCAACACCTCACTAGAACAAAAGATTCTCAAAGACTTTTGGTATGTTTTTCCAGTTTCACCGGGAGAAATCTGGTCCTTCCTGACAGATGAGCATCACTCCCTACTACATGCTTAAGCCTGCTACATTTGTTACTACGTCTACAGGAGTTGTGGCTGCAAAGATGACAAAACACAGATGGATAAGGCTGGGATCTAGCCCCAGCTCTTTCTGCCCTGTCCCCTGGTGTGAGGACTGGAGGAGCCAGTTCTATGTTGGAGAAAAATATTTGGACAGCAAGACTTCCAGGACTTACCTTGAAGGTAGAAGTTAGAAGAGAAGCTGGGATTTGGAGCAGAAGATTGAGTTGATGGGTGGTGGATTAGGGTGTTGTAGGTTTTGTGTTGCAGTTCAAGGCTGGATCAGTTCTCAGATGAGATGGACAGAAAAGTTACAGTATGAGAAGATGTAGATTGCATTTCATTTTAGTGAAAGTAGAAAGAAAAATTTGATGTTATTTGGAAGAAGTATTGCAGAATGGACATTTTGCACTTGGTCTTACTGGTAGTTCTTGCTGCCCTTCCTGCTGATTTGTTGTGAAACACTGTCCAGACACAACATGAAGCTGCCCCTTGACAGTCATAATGTTGGACCGTCACAAATTTCTCCTGAAGCATGTAAAGTTTGTGTCGTGTGTCTGTCTTCTTTGAGGATTTATGAAGAGATTCAGCTCTAGCCTTCTGCCATCTATCTACCACCTCCCTTTTGAGCTCATTTAGCCCTTTTTCTCACAAAGAAAATCTTAGTCCGTGGTTTCACTCCCTGGATATCTCCCTGCCTTCTGAAAAGGTGCTGAGGTTTAAAGGAGCACAGTTCCACATAGTTGGTTCCAGTTCCCCTTTCAAAGCCAATGGCAATCACAATTACCTCCTTTCATTGACATTATCATTTATTTTAGGAGCTATTGGGCTCCCACTATGACTATTTTAAACCACCCTATGTCTTTTTCTGTGTCTTTGCTGTGTGGATAGCTCTACCTTGTGATATCTGAATCTCCCATTTACTAGTTATCCATGCCCTAAAGAAGAAGACCCCATCTACTCAAATAATGGTGAAAGGAAGGACTTGCTCTTACTGTCATGGATTAACATAACTATTGGTGCCTTAATTAAAGTGCACATTTGGTTCATGCAGCTGCGATTCGTGTTAATTTTAGTTCAATGGAAGGGTGAAACATGCTAGTGAAGGGGTGACAGCCTTAGAGCAGAGGTGAATATAAAATAAACAGTATGTGTTCCATCTCCAGGATGAACTGAGGAACCTTTAATAAGAACTAAATCAGGGTTAAACTGTAAAGATGTCCATATTTCATCTGACTTGGGGCAACAGCTCAGGTGTGACTTTCAAGGAAAGCAGGGGCCTTCCTATGACTCCCATTCATCCTCATCTTCCTCTCCAGGTGGTTGTTGCAGCATTGGTAGGGGTGGAATTGAGTCTGACATTCGGGCAAAGGCTCCCCCAGGGCCTTCCCCAGTGCTTGCCCCAGGTCCTTTCCCTGAGATGCCTGAAAGTAAAAATTTACCAAAGTGAGAGAAAGCTGGGCTGCCTCAGCTTCAAAGATTCAGAAGCAAGAGGCACATTATGGATGGATGCATCATAAATAGGGCCCTGGAAGGAAGCACACAGGGCCCCACTATAAATACTTACCTTTGCGCCTCATGACTAGTTTGTTGAAGAGATCTGACATTAGGTCACCACCTTGGCTTGTGGCTCTCACTGTAACAAAAAAATTATGGTTAGGATCGTGGGAGGAAAGATAGGAAATTTCACAGGGTCATACTTTCGTGATGATCACCACTTTTTTTATCTTCCAAAGGATAATTGGAACTTCAGTTTGGGAGTGGACAGCTAGCACCAACAAGCAATAGATACTGCATCATATTTGTAATAATTAAGTAAAGAGAGTGGCAAAGGAGAATACTTGGGCATCATGTAAGGAACGTTTTTTTCTAACATTCCAGAGCAGAGTGGGCTGCCTCGGGAGGGTACTCCTTCAGTGAATGTCTTCAAGCTGGATGACCACTAGGGGCTATGGTGTGTAAAAAGGGATTCCTGTGAAGTCTCAACTTTATGGCCTCTGAGGTCCCTTCTAATGGAATCTGATGAATGAAAATAGATCTTCGTAGCTTTCTGAAAGTAGCTCATTTCTATAAGCTTTGGAAATGAGTCAGAAGAGCAAGCTGAGGCCAGGTCACCCCAAGATGCAGCCAGGACAGGGTGCCACAGCACACTGGGCTTTTTCGTCTTTTGCGCTCTAACAATTTCCCACCACCTATTTCTCTCCTTATCACCGGCCTCATAAAAGAAAGCCATCCCCAGTCTCCTCGGCCCTGCCCTCATCTGTGTCCTGATCAGACCCTTTTCACCATGCTCCCTGGAGTCTTTCTTCCTTATCCAAGACCTCCTTATTTTATTATACTCCTTCCATCTTTAATCCTCACTGAAAGCTGGCTTCCCACGAATGATTATTTCTCCTCGGCCCTCTTCTCCAGCTATAGCTTCAGCTCCTGATACACTGCTGGAGTTGGAAGACTCCTTGCTCCCACTGCCATTTCCAGACTCAAGCTTTACCACCATTACTGAGCAACCTCTCCCCTTGTATTAAAAAATACCAATATTTTCTTTTCAGTCTGGATAATAGTGGCTATTGTATACTGGTCCCTAGGGCATCTCTCTTTCCTCAAGAACTTCAACACCTACTTCACTGTCATCCTCTCCTCCTAAACTCTTGCCTGTTATGAGTAGACTTTACCATCCATGCTGATATACCCTCAAACTTCTTTACTCCACCTCAAACACAGAGGCTCTCACCATGCCAAGAAATGTTTTATTTCCAACATTACCCTCCTGTCATTCTATTTCTCCTTATGCCTCAGCCCTTCTAAACTAGGAGGAAGCAAGCCTGAAGGATGACGAGTCTGCTAAGAGGTGTTTCCTGCTAAGACGTTTTCCATACAGCGAGTCCTGGCCAAGAACAACACTCCATAAAGCCTGGATGGCCAAAGACGTCATTCTTTCAGCAGTTCTGGGCTAGGGGATGACCCAGCATTCTTTACTGGGCCCTGTGTTGCTAAATAGAAGCAATGGCCTTCAGGGCTCTACCTTTTATAGCAGGAATGAGGGCAGGCCTTACCCTGTTCCTGTTCCTTCTGCTTCTTCTTCTCCAGCTTTCGCTCCTTCACACTCCGTAGCTTTGCCTTGCCAATACCTCCCGCCTGGCGGATTGACTCTAGCAGGGTTGCCCGTCCACTGGAAGGATCTACTACTTCCTTGGGGGGTATGTGAACTGCAACTGAAGGAGGGGGAGAGAAGACAAATTTGAGAATGGGTCAGCCAAACTGGGAAGGGACATTATAGCTTAACCTGAGGGAATTTCCCTCTCCCTTTTGCTACCTAGTAAATGAAGCTGAAAGTCCTGCTCACAAACAGATTGATTCCTAGTTCATCATAAAAGAATTTGCTGAAAACTATTATTCAGTGAGTGTGCTCAGAGATACATGAATTGAGATTAGGATCTATATTCTCCCTTCCCCTCAATTACATTTAGAAGAGGTAATGCTTGTGAAAATAGTAAATGTGTATAGTTTGAAGCCATTGGATTAGATGATCCAGAAACTACCCTTCAAATAAAATGTCTAAGGTACCTGTGAGTTAGACCTTGGCAGGCCTCTAGTTAGAGGCCTTCCCATCTTCCCATCCCAACTTCCAATGTTAGAGACACTTATTGGTACCTGAAGGAGACATGCTGCTGTTGTCCTCACTGGCTGACTGGGCGGAGGTGAGCTGGGGCAGAGGTGGGGGTGGAGGCGCACTGACCAATACTGCAGGGGCTGGTGGAGGAGGAGGTGGTGGAGGTGGAGGTGGTGGGGGTGCTACTGGTGTTTCACCATCTAGTTCTGAAAATAAAATACCATTTTTTACCTCAGCCTGGGGCCAGAGAAATAATGTATGAATAACAAATCTCTCCTCCTTTTCAGAATACCTGGCTTAAATGGCTCAGCAAGCTCAGTGTTGAAGGTGGGTAGCTCAGGAATAGTGCCAGGGGCAGAAGGTGCTATGCCAGGGCCTAGGTCAGCACTGTACATGAGGTCATCAGCAATGCCAGGAAGATCAGGAAGGTAGGATGGCACATCGATCTCAGGCACCTGGCCCAGATCTGGTACATAAAAGTAATTCTCTGCTACCTAAAAGAGCAAGCAAGAGGTGGGGAAATTGATTAGGGGATGGGGGGGGGGGGGGTTGGGTAGGATAAACTTGGGCCAGGTCATTCTGGGCTGGGATCAAATAAACAGAATAGGCTAGGCGGTTACCCCTTCCTCCCACCAAAAGAAAGCATAATAATAATAGCTTAAATTTATTCATAGTGCTTAGTAGTTTACAAAGCACTTGCTTCATAGATGTGCTGAAACAACTCCTAGGCTTTGAAGCCTCACCTTAAGTACTTTGCCCACCTCTGACACACACATTACCTGCTGCTCCAGTTGTTCCCTCTTGCTGATGGACAAGGGGGCATCAAACAACTTCTCAGTCTCTGTCCCTAGTGTCACATGAGTCTTTGTCACAGCCCCAGCCAGAGGGTCCAGAAAGACATACTTCTTGTACCTGAGGAATGGAGAATAGGCATAGTTGGCAATCACCTGAATGTAGGGTAGGGTTATCTCCCCGCTTTGCTTCCTCTGGGGTCAGGTTTAAAGCTGGGAAAGGGAAGTATGGAGAAACAAGGCTCTGGCTTCACAAAGCTTTCTCATCACCCCCCATCCCGCCAGACCTCAATCCTGCCCCCCCTTTGCTGTCCTGCCAGTCATACAGGTTCTCAGTGGTGTTGAAGAGCAGCAAGGAGCTGAGGGAGTTGATGTTGCTGGGAAGGCCCCCAAGTCCCTCCTCGGCCTCATCTTCAGGCTGGGGTCTGGTGCTCACACACACAGGGAAGTACTTCAGTTTTTCCTGAGGATGAAGAGGGTGGTGAGAGAAGTAAGCAAGCCGTAAGTCGGCCTGCTCTCTCATTGCCAGGATGGTGCAAGGTGACAGACAGCACTGGGGTTAGGCATGAACTCCTAGTAACAGCATGTTTATACGGCATTTTACACAGTATTTCTGGCACAGTAATCCTATATGAATAAGTATATTTTCTGTTTTGTGGATGAGAAAATGAAGGGGCAGTGGACTTAAGTGGCCTTCCTAGCTGTTTAGTCACCCAGCACTCTTCCCACCAAGCTTGGCCAGCCCATCATCTCCCTATTCTCATCCCAGTAGGCCTTTTTTTCTCTCCTGGGAGTCCAGACCTGCAGGGCCCTTTCATCTAGGGGTCGGTGCTTGCTCTGGATCTTGTGTCGGATGCGCCTCTGAGACCCAGGATCCTGGGCTCCTTCGAAGATGGAGTTGTACTCCTGCAGTCTATCTGGGGCTGGATACTTGGCACTAGAGAACACCTGCAGGGAGGCAGAGGAGATGAGAACTTTCAGGGATAGAAGGTTCTCTCTCCTTTGGTGGAACACCGCACAGTGAAAAAAATTAAAATATCCTAGAAGTAGTGAGGAAGAGCTATGGTGGTTATGAAGTACTCCACCCTAGGTAAAAGCAGCAACATGAAATAGGCTGGGAGGCTCAGGGCTTGACCCAAGGAGTCAGGATCTCTAGACTGATACTTGGGTCGAGAGGAGGAGGGAGACTGTGGTGCCGATTACCTTGATTGCCTTCTTGCTGCCCTTGATCTTCTCAATCTTGGCCTGAGCCAGAGAGACTCTCTGTCCAATGACCTGCAGCTGGCTCCGGCTCATTTCTACCCGTTGGGAAATCCTGCCACAAAGACCAACACCTGTGAGTGAGGTGCCACTCCAAACGTTCTTTGTCCCAAACCCTCTTTTGCCCCAGCATCCACATGATAGCTCTGTGAGACGAGGTGCTGGGAATGAAGGAGCATATTCTCTGAGGAGAGCAGTGTACTTCCCTGGGCTGGCATGGTGCTGCAGATGACTTCTGAAGGGTCTGTCTAGACTTGAGAGCTCCCATCCACTAGGGTTGTATAAAAGGATTTGAACAGACTTACAGAAATCACACTTGCCCCACAGAACAGACATACTACAAATGGCCAGAAACACCAGAACCTTCCCTGTACCTAAAAGATGTCTAACTTTAACAGACTTAAGTAGTAAAATCATAACTATTGCTAGTCTCACAAGTTTTTCACACTGTTCAGCAAAAGACAGCCTTTTCTACCCACAAAGCTTGAAATGACCCTAATAGGTTTCAGCACCTCTTTACACCAACTCAACAGAAGTTCAAACATACCTGTTAAGTGCCTGCTAGGTACAAGGTCATTCCTCTGGTTCTACATTATTATCATAAATATTTTGTAGAGAAAGTAAAATAGGCATGGGTTAGGATTAGTTACTGATATTTTCTTGGTTTTCATTGTATTTTTATGAATTTTTATTACAATGCAGATTATTTTACTTTTGCGTATTTTCCAGTAAACCATGTTAAGGGTAGGGGCTGTTTAATTTTTGTCTTGTATATCATCAGTGCCTTGCACATGTTAGGCTTTTACTTAATGTTTGCAGAATTAAATTGAATGATTTTTAATTAACTAGTCAACCTATTGTTTATACAGCTGTTACTTTAATTTTCCTTATGCACAGATTTTATGGATGAGGAAACTGAGGCTCAAACACATTAAGTGACTGAACTGTACTTACACAGATAATAAGGACTGGACCCAGGACTTGAGTCCAAGTCTCTCAACTAGCTTTCTTTCCACCACATTCCCATTTAGAAAGGATTTCATGAATTAGGTGGAAAAGCTGGACTAAATTACTTCTAAGATGCCTTCTAACTCTAACATCATATGATTGTAAGCTGTAGTGTGTTCGTTAAAAACCCTTTCTCATCATAGTCAAACCTCATATGTCAAGGCAGGAATCGGTCAAAAACCAGATATTCTGACTCCAGCAACAGAAATAACCCTGCCCAGCCCCACTCTCTCAAAAGAAGTTCCCTACCCCCTAGATCCGTGTACTGGGCCTGATCTCTACTGAGGCTGCTCTCCACATTAAAGTTGTCCCAGAATGAACTGTGCCAACTCCTCAGCATCTAAGTCACCAAAGCCAATTCTTGTTCTGGTGCTCCCAAGAAGGCCCTTGACTTTTAATCACTGACTTTTCTTTTTTCTACCCTTCCCATTCTGTTCTTTCCTATCCCCAGGCAAAGAAAAACTTGAACCTAACCTCTCTTCACCTTCCCCTCCTCAGCTCTTGGCATAATTAAGAACAATCTGCTAATTATGCAAGCAGCTGATTGAGTGTTCTGTAACCTGGTGTACTCCCAGGTGCCAATCACTGGGGAGAGGCAGAAAAAGCTAGGGGGTAAAAGAAGGGGAGAAGAGAAGAGGAAGAAAATGAAAGGAAGGAAAGTTATTTAGTAATGCTAACTCTACCTCTTTCTTGCATGTCTCCCACTTTCCCTAGAGAAAGTAGCTGCTCCCTCTCAAGTAAAGCTATCAGGTAGGGGTGAGAGAAGGAATAAATACATAGGTCAGTTGTATCCAAGCTGTAAACCAGAGAAATTATCTCTTTCCTAACCCCTAATACATACATCCCTTATCATACAAGTCCTACAAGGCAGATGGAGACCCAGGGACTATATAAGTTTAGTCCTAGTTTCTCTTAAGTGAAACTGGCAGGGGATGTTGACTAGGAAATAGGGAGCTGGAAGAAGAGAGGGAGACATTGTAGGCAGGACAAAGGAAAAGGTTGGAAGAAGCAGAAATATGTTGAGAGATACTTGTATTTCTTTCAGTCTCTGTGAAAATCTCTGCCGTCACATTTTCTCGGCTCCAGTTTACCTGGCTGGAATGGGGCCAGAGCAGAGAGAGAGAGTTCCTACCTAAACCAGAGAAGGGGAAATCTGATATCGGAGATGGAAGAAAAGAGATGTTAAGATGGGATGAGAGAATTAATTTGGCTCAAAAATTCTCTCCCTCCCTTCCACCTGTTTTTGTCCTCATAACCACTGAGTCCTAGGAGCTTGGGACCTAGAAATTGGGAACAGCTTGTATGTTAAGATAATAAGGGCAAGTGGGTAGGGCACTATTAGATCAGAGGAAAAATCTCCACACCTCAAAAAGCGTTTATAAACATCCACATATATATTATCTTCTTTGAAAATAGATGTGATGATATCTTACCCATTCCGTGGTAATCATAGGATTATAGATTTAAAGCTAAAAGGGGTCTTAGAGATCATCAATTGCCAGCCCCCTCATTTTTGGGGAAAATAAGGGTAAAGTGACTTGTAGAGCTGGGAATTAAATAAAGGTCTTCTGACTACTAGTCTATATTTGTATGGTTTGTCTTTCTAAATAGATTGGAAGAGAAAGTATCTTACACTTTTATATACCTGACCATACCTACCAAAGTGCTAGACACACAGCAATTATGCAATAAATATTTGTTGAGCTGACCTGATTCTTCGAAGAATGTGTCAGTTCTTAACAGAGAAGGGTCTAGTGTTTGAGTTTGCTCTTTGAGGACAGGAATTGTTTCATTTTTGTTTTCAGTGCCCAGCACAATGCGTGATACAAAGTAGGTGCTTAACTAATGATTACTGATTGACTGGACTGGGTAGGGAGTAGCAAAAAAAAAAAAAAAAAAGTAACCTAAACACCTGGGTTAAAAAAAAACCTAAAGATTCTATCAGAAATCATATGTCTCCTTTCCAAGAAGACAAAGTCACTTAGCCATATTTGACAGATTTTTTTTTCTAACATTCATTTCATGTCTATGTCCATTCCTGGTATTGAAACCTCCATGACAGCAAGGCTCATGTTCCTCTCCTCACTTCATAGGATTTAGAAGATAGTGAGAAGAGAGAAAGTGGAGGCACTGAGAGTAGATGTCTTTTTCAAAAAATTTTGTTGTAAAGGGAAGGAGAGATGAAAACCAATAGCTAGCAGGGGTGGTAAGATCTCATAGGATTTTTAAGGGTGAATGTGACAGGCATGTTTGTAGGGAGCAGAGAAGGAACCAGAAGATATGAAGAGAATGAAGATTAAAGACAATGTGAGGATGATAGTGAGGGTAATCTGCAGGACCATAGCTTAAAATATGACAGGCTCCTGGCCAGTATACCTAACAAAGGGTGGTTAAAAAAAATCTTTTTGCCTGGTGACTTGAAAATCTAACTGAATTTTTATGTTCACCAAGCTTGATATCATAAAGAATAGCTGCAAAAAGGAAGAAGAATAGTAGCTCCAAGAAGTTCCAGGAAACAGAAATCTAAGGAAGGAGCGCTCTTAATGCAAAGTGGAAATCTGACTTTATCCTTGAGACTTGATGGGATAAAGGTAGACTGTGCTTCTGGATGGGTGTGCTTTCTGCGGGACAAAGGAGGATGGCATAACGATGTATGTAAGAAGATATCCTCAGGTGAGGAAATCCAGGAGTGGGGGGAAGGAAGCGTGGCAGAAGTTATTGGGTGAAAAACAGTGGAGAGAGAATCAGAAGCAGCTTTTTCATAAGAGTATACCAAAGGATATCAAAGACTACCTGTTCAGTAAGTGGAAATGAATGATGCAGCAGGGAAATGAATCACCAACCCAGCACAGAGAAATAATATGTGGGGCAGCTAGGTGGTGAAGTGGATAGAACAAAGGGGTTGGAATCAGGAAGACCTGGGTTCAAATCCAGCCTCAGACACTTACTAGCTGTGTGATCCTGGGCAAGTCCCCATCTATAAAATGGGGATACACTGGAGAGAGAAATGGCAAACCACACCAGTAGTCTTGCCAAGGTTGGACATGACTAAACAACCAAACAACAGAGGGAACTTCAATCACCCAGACACCTGCTCTCTCTGCCAAAAGCAGAGCAACTGGTAAGTTCTTAATTTACCTTAATCAAGGCAAGGATGACAATTTCATCCTTCCAACAGTAAAAGAACCAATAAGGGGAAATTCTAATCCAAATCTGACTCTCACTAACAATACTATGCCATCAGATACCACAATGCCTGGCACATAGTAGGTGCTTGTTGATTAATTGAAGGGAAGGGAGTAGAAGATGAATATAAAAAAGTGCCGTGGTACTGTGAGAACCTAACAAGGGGAAACTGGTTTCTGGGGTAAAAATGATGGGAACCTTGTGACCTCCTATAGTCTGTGACAGAGAAGAGGAAACCTAGGTATAGTCTGACGTGCACTCTTGATTCTAAGAAAGAAAATTTCAAGTTTCAGAGGAAATAAGGGACAGAGTCCCATGAACTAAAATTCTACAGGGGAAGTCACCCCAGAAGGGATAACTTTCAAGAATATAATTCTTTCCCAGTCCAGCTCGATAGACCTTTCTAGTCCACCATCCAGGTTGTCTTGGGCTGGAAATTTGTTTCACTTTGTCTTTTTGTGGGTTCTGCTGCTCTAGAATTTGTTTAGAGCCATTTTTTGCAGGTATTTGGAGGGGTTTGGGGGAAAGCTCAAGCAAGTCATTGCTTTTACTCCACCATCTTGGCTCTGCCCCCAAAGAATAAAATTCTTAAGACACAAAGGGAAATAATTCCAAGAAGAAGGGGCAAAGGGAATTGTCTGAAGAGATGCTGAAGTTCCCAAACTTATTTGGCCTACTGCCCCCTTAAAAACAAAATTACTCAGTGCCCTCCTGGAAATCTACTTTATTTAACCCTTTAACTGTTTTTTGTTTTTGTGTTTTTTTAATCTGTGTCATCTCAAACTACTACCAACCCCCTGGGTTGTTCCAACATCCCCCAAGGGACAGTACTGCCCACTTTGGAAACCTATTATAGATACACCGAGAGCTTGCCAACCAAAAGATGTATATAGAAAATGGAAGGGCTATTACCTCTAGGATAAAATATAAACTCCTATGTTTAGCTTTGAAAGTTCTTCATGACCTGGCCCTTACCTATCTTTTCAGGTTCACTGAACATCAATCCTCTTCCTAAATGTTGCATTTCAGCCTGGGAGTAGGGCAGGGAGTAGAAGATGAATATTAAAAAGAGGCATGGTACTGTAAGAACAGTATCATCAGGACGACAGCTAAAGAATGAGCTGAAGCTGTCAAGGAAGGGAGAGGAAAACAAACAGTGATTTTTTGAAAAACTATATTAGGGGAAAGAAGAGAATCCACGAAGGGATAGGGCCGTTGCTCAGGGTGACTGAGATGATGATCAGTGATGAGAGATAAGGCAGAACTACTCCACTGTTTCTGGTTTTTTTTCTGCCAAGGAGTAGCCTTTGGAGGGGAAAGGATAGCAGAAAAAGAGGTAAGAGGGAGATGATATCCAAAATTATTAAAGAGGTAGTATGAGATTACCTACCTGAATGAATTCAAATCTGGCCAGGTTATACTATATCCTTGGGTACTAAAAGAACTGGTGGATTGATTCATGAGTCTCTATTAGTCACATGAAAGATTGTGGAGAAAAGGAAAGGTACCGAAGGTCTGAATTACAGGTCTTTCTTGTTACTTTCTTCCTCAATAAACTCCTGTGGTTCCCTATTACCTTCAGGGTCAAATATAAACTCCTTTATTTGAAATCCAAAGACCTTCACAACCTGGCTCTAATCTACCTTTCCAGCCACCTTATGCTTTACTCCCCTTCACAAACACCGACGTCTAGATAAACAGCCTTCTTGCTATTCCTCACATATAACACTATTTCCTATCTCTATGCCTTTGCTCTTCTGCTGTTCTCCTCAACTGGAATGTACTCCCTCTGTACTATCATCTAGCACGTGTCATTCTTTTGCCTATTATAATCTCTGCCTCTTATAATCTCCAGTTTCCTTCAGAGAGCAATATAAGCACCAGTTTCTCCATAAGGCCTTTTCTGATCCCCATATCCTTTCCCCCTCAAAATTACCTTGTATTTCTTTATTTTGTATATATTTATGGCTCAGAGGAAAAAGCACTGGATCTAGAGTTCAAACCAGTTTCTTCCTTGTGCTAAATACATTGGTTACCTTGGACATGTTACCACCTCTTTGGGCCTCAGTTCCCTCACTTGTAAATTGAGAGGGTCTGGACTAGATAAGATCCCTTCCAGTTCTACATCTGATCAAAGTGTCTCCCCTGACAATGCAAACTTGACTTTGTATCCTCAGCGCCTAGCACGGAGAAGGTGCTTAATAAATGCTTGTTGGTTGACTGCCTAGAGAAGGACAAATGTCCTAATTTTCAAGAAAGGTAATAGAGGCTGCAAACTGCAGGGCTGTGAACTTGATTCCAATTCCTGGAAAAATTCTAAAGTTGATTATTAAAGAGATGGACAGAGAACAGACTGACCTTATTTCCCTTCCTGATACAGTAGCTAAGCTAATGGTTCAGGAAATATTGTAGATATAATTTGCCCAAATTTTAACAAATCATTTAATAAAGTATCTCATGCTATTCTTATGGAAAAGATGAATGACACGTGCTAGATGATAGTACAATTACATAGACCCAGAACTGGTTCAATGGCCACGGTTCAATGTCAGCTTGGTAGCTTATCTCCAGTGACGTGCCCCAGGGATCTGTGCTTGTCCCTGTACTGCTGGACATTTTTATCAATGACAAAGAAAGCCACAGATGGCATGCTTATCAAATTTTCAAATGACACAAGGCTGGGAGAGATAGCTGAGATGTTGAATGCCAAACTTAGGATTCAAAGGGATCTTGACAGGTTAGAATATTGAGCTTAATCTAATAATAAAAAATTTGAGGATGAATAGCCTTACATTTGGGTTAAAAAAAAAACAAACAACAACCAAATTTCATAAGTATAAGACAAAGGAACCATGGTCAGACAGTAGTTTTTCTGAAAAAGATTTGTGAGTTTTAGTGGACCTCAAGCTCATTATCCAATCAGTTGTCAAGTACTTTCTGTTCTACTCCAAAACATATCTATCCCTTTCTCTCCAAACACACAGCTACGAGCCTAGTTTAGGTCCTCATCACCTCTCAACAGCTTCCTACTGGTCCTCCTAACTTATAGCTATCCCCTTTCCAATCCATCCTCCACATACCTGCCAAAGTGAAATTCCCTAGGCACAGGTATGACCATATCATCAAGAAGCTCAGTGGCTCCCCATTGCCTCCAGAAACAAATACAAACTCCTCTTTGTCATTTAAAGCCTTTCTCAAGCTGATTCCAGCCTACCTCCTCAGGATTTTAGCACATTACTTTTATTCATACACTCTATGGTTGTGCTTATTGTTCCCCTTATGTACTATTACATCTCTTATCTCTATCCCTTTACAGAGGCTCTCCCTCATGCCTGGAATATACTCTCTCCTCACCTTTCAAGTGCCACCTTCTACCTAAGGCCTGTTCTAATCCCCCCAGGTTTTTTTTTTTTAATCGGGTGGTCGTTAAAACATTTCCTTTGACCCCTCCCAGGTTCTAGGGTCCTCCCCTCCTTCTTGGGGAAATTAATTTACTTTGCATATAGTTTATGTATTTGCCTGTGTTCACTGTACCCTGAGCCATGCCTACCTGCTGAAGATGTCACCAGAGACCTTCTGGAGGTACTGTAAGGCATCTGCCACCTGCTGGATAGCCTCTTCTCTTCGGAGATCTGGCTGGATCAAGGGCACAGAGTAGGCCTGGCCTTCCAGGTAATGTGACTGTGTCATGGTGGTCATGCTGCCTGTGGGAGAGGGGGAAAGTCAGATGTGCTTCATCCCCTCCAAAGTTCCTCCCCTTGATCCTGGGCAATATACACACATGTGGGAGTAAGGCAAGTCTGGGAGAATCTAGGCCCATTCTTGCTCTCAGTACCCCAACAGCTAGGAAGTCCAGGTGTACAGTGGGCAGGAGGATACCTCAGGCCTTAGAGATGCTGCTAACAGGTAGAAAACCGGAGGGAAACTGGGGGAAGAAGAAGAGACTAGGGGCTGGGATCAGAGTACAAAAGAGAATGAATGAGTGGAAGATGACTGTGGTGAAGGGATGTCCAGGAAAAAAAAACTGAGGAACACATGGAAAGAGAGGGATCCCCAACTGTGCTGCTCAGAGTAGCCCCATGTCTACAGGAATTCATCAAGTTTGAATTTTTGCATTCCGTTTCTGGTCTGGCTGATGGAATCAAAGCCTAGACCGTGGGCAGACTGACTAGGTGCAGCTCAGGTAGGCTTGGGTGACTCAGGCCTGGTGACAGGAAAGTAGGCTGAGTGTATGTCTGCACTGGAGGTGGGAGAGGGGGGAGAGAAGAGGCGGAAGGGGAGAAACACTTCAGCAAATTGCAAGGCAAGGGCAGAGTCTATTTATACTTGGTTTAATTAACTCGGCTCCCTGGTGCTTCTAAAGCACAATCACACTGCAGACAGTACTGATTTGATTGGCAAGAGAAGTGCCAAGCGGAATATTAAGGCGAGAGCCCCTATAAATAGGACTAATCACGATCCTAGCACCGAAAGGTGGCAAGGAGGACATTAATCAGCCCTGGCACCAGGGCTCAGACCCGGTCTCCCCGCCTTACTCTAGGGTGCAGGAGGAAGTGGGATGGGAGATTACAATTAATGGTGGCCTTAAGGAGGCCTGGTCCTGCCTCGAAGTGACCATGCTGAGTGACCATGCACGGCCGCTCGCCCTCTCTGAGCCTCCACGACCGCCCCTTTTCCCCACACTGTGGAATGAATGAGGGCGGAAGGCGGGGGGTCATTCTTTCCTCCTTTCATGACAGCCCCACTGTGAAAGTGGAAGAGGCTGCCTGGGCTGAGGTCCGGGCGCAGGGGCTTGGCCGGGCCCCCTCGAAGCCTCCGCTCCTCCACCGAGCAGGGCCTACGGACGCAGAAGCCTCGGTTTCCCCCACTCCCAGCCCTCGGCCACTCTCGGAGGAGGGCGCGCGCTTCTCCCCCCGGCCCCCAAGCCTTGTTCTGCCTCCCGCCCCGCCCCCCGAGGGCTCAAAGCTCCAGCCGCAAACGGGGAGAAGGAAGGGGTGGAGGTGGGGGGGGGTCCCCACAGCACATTACGTCACTGGAGCCGGACCAGGAGTGGCACTCCCACCCAGCGAGTTCCGAGGTAGGGGTGGGGTTGGCCGTCTGAGGACACCGTAGTTGCGGCCTAGCAGGACCACTGAGAACGGGGCGGGGGAGGAGTCTGCGGAGTCACGTGAAAGACGAGACGGCGCGCGGGGCGGGGCCTCCGGGAGCAGGGCGGTGGGGATCCCCAGTCCCCGGCTGCTCCTGGGGGACGAAAAGAGTCGGTAGGTCCTCTGGCCTCTCTCGTGCCCCTCTCCCCACAAAGGAACCCCCTTTTTGCCCCCAGGCCTCTCACCCACTCACCCCGCCAGCTTGGCCCAGGCGCGCGGCCTGTCCTCTGGACCTGGACGCCCGGGGCCTGGCCGAGTCTGACGTCCGCCGTTTCCGCCTCCCCTTCCTCCTCCCCCAGCTGCTGGGTCCTAGCGCCCTACGCTCGCTCCTCAGGTGAGCCTGCGAGCCGGACTCCCGAGCAGCCTCCGGGGCCTTTCTCCCTGCGGAGATGCCTCCCGGGGCCTCACGTATCCCTGTTCCCCTCTGCTCCCTCCCTCACTTCGGGTCCTCTCCCTCTTTTGCTGGTCGCTCCCGGGTCCAACCATCTCTCTGCCCCGGCCTCCGTCCGGCCTGCGGTGACTTCCCCTTCCCCGGCTCCCCGTGCGCCCCACGGCCCCCGACCCAAGGCATCCCTTCCTGGGGAGCCCGCAGGAGCGAGAACGACTAGAGGAAGCCATAACGATCCCCAGCCTCCTTTTTAAATCACGGAATTTGAGAGTTGGAGGTCCTGAGGACCATTTGGTCCAACTTTTACTGGAAAGGAAGCCCCCCACTATAATAATAGGCCGGTCAAGCGGTCATCCAGCCTCAGCTCGGAGACCTCCGGGGAAGGGAAACCTACTCTGACATCTCGTCTTCCTACTGTAATCTTAAGGGGTTTTTTGTTGTTGTTGTTGTTTTCAATGAGAATGATTTATAAGCGGAATCCCTGATCAATGTGATAAGTTCCCCGACCAACCACTAGAGATCAGTGTCTGCTCCTCGAGTTCTTAACCTTTTTGTGTGTGTGTCATAGACCCTTTTGGCAGTTTGGTGAAGCCGATAGACTCCTCCGAATATTTTAAAATAATAATAGTAGCATTCATATAGCTATTATTGGGAGCTTTAAAAATATCTCATTTGATCTTAACAATCCTATGAGGCAGGTACTATTATTATTCTCATTTTACAGCTGAGGAAACTGGGGTGGTCGAGTTGAGTGTCCGGTGTCACACAGCTCATCAGTCTGTTGAGTTCAGATTTGAACTGGGTCTTCCTGACTCCAGGCCCAGTGCTCTATCCACTATGCCATCTTTTTGAATCCATTAAATCAACTACGTTTACAAAGGAAACCAATTATATGGAAATTATAAAATCTAGATTAAGAATCCCTGGTCTACTTTGTGCCAGGCACTAGATATGAAAAAGCAAAAATCAAGGTTCCTGAGGCATTAGCTGCTGAGGGGAGGATCAGGAAAGGCCTAGAGTACTTGTCTAGGAAGCTGAGGTAAAGAGGGGTGCCTTCTCAGGCCGAATATGGTTGGAGGTGGGAGTGTTATGTGTGAGCAGCAACAAAGAAGCAACAAACATTGTTTAAACTCCTACTCTGTGCCAGGCATGCTAAGCACTAGAGATTCAAAATTAGGCAAAAACCTGCCCCTGCTCTTAAGGAGCTCAAAGTCTAATGGGAAAGACAATATATGAACGACTATATACAATTGCTATATACAAGATAAATTGGAGATAATCTAATAAGGAAGGCACCAAAATTAGGGAGGGCTGGGAAAGGTGGATCTTTGAGACTTGACAGAAGCCAGGGAACCCTGGCAGAGATGATGAGGGAAAGAATTCCAGATGTGGGGAATAGCCAGTAAAAGTGTGTGGAGTTGACAAATGTTTGAGGAATAACAAGGAAGCCAGTGTCAGTGGGTTGCAGAGTACGTGGTGGGGGTAGGGTAGTGGGGGAGCAAGGTATAAGAAGAGTGGGAAGGAAGGAAGGGACCAGGTTATAAAAGGTGTAAAGGGATTTTTTATTCTCATGTTAATCAATGTGATATGTGTAATGAATATACTAATAATTTAGATTTCTCAGAGCTCACATTTTCTCAGCAGATTCTGGCTTGGGAGTTAGAGACTCACAATGCAGCTTAAAGTTACGAATCAGCGCTGACAGTTCCCACATTCTTGTGCTTGTGTACCTTAAGTGAATTGAATCAAACATCGTAAAATCTATTTCTGTCACAGAACTCTGGTTTTGAACCCCACCAAGTAATCGTGACCCCCAAGATTTGAGACAATAAATCTAAGAACTGTACCCACAGGGCTGGAGAACACCTGTGTTGTCCTACACTTGTGGGTTTGCCATGGGAAACTGCTCAAGACCTAGAAATGATTGTGTTGTAACCCTCCTTCCCCTCCCCTCCCCACTTGTGATTTATGTATAAAAACTTTGCCTGTATGCCAGCTTGAGGACCTCTCCTCCTACCATCTACTTGACCACTGCTTGATTGCTGGCAAGCCTGTCTCTGATCTGCTCTGTTTCACCTCTGGCCATTCTCAGGTTAGAGACTGATACAGTAAAATTCTGTTAACATAGGCTTTAAAAGCTAAACAGCATTTCATATTTGATCCTGGTGGGTATTTGAAGTAAGAGGATCTAAGTTTGAATCTTGCTTCTACTTACTACCTTTATGACCTTGGGCAAACCACTTAATCTCTGTACATCTCATTTTCCTCATAAAATTTTATAAAATACCTCATTATGAAATAAGATGATTGGACTAGATCTTGAAAGCCCCACCCAGCTCCAAATCCTGTGATTCTATAAAGCACTAGATTTCTAAGTATAAAGCACTTCAAGAACTTCAGCCCCAAGCCTTGGACTCATCTCCCCTAAAGCTTCTCTTCACAATACCCCCACAGCATGGGAATACACTCATACTATTCTCTTTATCAGCCTAGGTTGGTGGTTTGTATTATACTGACAAATTTAAAAATCGATACATTGTTCTTTATATATGTGTGTATGTGTTTGTGTGTGTGAATGTATGTATATTTATACACACACACACGCATATACACATGTATACATTCATATATATAGAAGCTGTGGATTCCTTTCCTAGCTGCTAAGGCCTATATCATCATTATCAAAACCCACTTTTCAAAGCATTAATCTACAAGTAGGAAAAATCTTCTTCCTGGAACTTTACATATTTTGTTTTGTTGCTCTAACAAATGCCAGTTATTGTTATTGGTGATAGTAATAGTGTGAAATTATGGACTGTTGTCATATGTGTGTGGATTAATTGCATTGACCTGCAATACCCTTTTCCCTACTTTTTCACTTCAGTACTCTCTTCCCCCAGAATGGCATCTAGAATACCTAAATCCCATTTGTATGGAAGCCAGGAAAGCAGGGCAGTGGAATTAATCTCTAGAATGGATTAACTCAGGCTCTGTTTGCTCTGAAGCAACAATGCCCTTTGAAGAAGGAAAACTGTTGGAGCAAACAGATAGCATCAGGATGGTAGACAAGGACAGACTAGCTACTGAGCACAGGGAAAAGACTGGAACGTAGGGTAAAGGAAAGGCGGGGTGAGGATGACATGAAGAACCTGGGGATTATAGGGGGTGGGTCTTGCTCACAGAAGAGGACACAGAAGAGTAATAGTTCAAATTTATGTAGTACTTTACAGTTTATAAAGTGCTTTCTTCACAACAACCCAGTAAGAGAGGTTATATAAATGTTTTTATCCCTATTTTACAAATGAGGAAGCACTCATCTAGTAAATTTGAAGCCAAGAATTTACTAATATTTTTGGCCCCAAATACAGTTCAACTCCCACCACTTTACTCTATGGAGGTAGAAATTTTCCGTTTCTCTGCCCTGTTGATGCCTTCTTTAGATTTTTTTCATTAGATATTTGTTTCTAGTCACTAGAGGGACACAAACAAAGGCATATTATAAAGTCACATAAATCTTAAAAAAACTGGTCTTCTGTATAGTGAAATATGCTTTATTTTTTCTTAGTTCCCTAGTGTGTTATAGTGGTAAGAATGCTAGATTTAACATCTAAAGTCTTTCCTTAACCCTACAAGTGTGGATATCCCTATATCTCTATCCCAGACATTCATTTCATTCTGTGCTCTCTTCCTCAATTTTGGCTCTCATGGGTTTGATTCTCATATTTATTCATCTTTATTCTTTCAAACTCTGGTCCCTCATTGCCAACATCTCTAGTTGGATGTCCCATTGGCATTTCAAACTTATGGCCAAAACAGAATTCATCTTCTTTCTCCCTAAATCTTCCCCATCCACCAAACTTCTTTTATTTCTGTCAAGGAAGTCTCAGATATCCAATTTCTTAACCTTGAAGTGATCCTTGACTCTTCCCTCTCTTGTACCCAATATATTTAACCAATTACCAAGTATTGTGGATTCTACCTCCACAATATATCTTGCATCCAGTGCTTTCTCTCCACTCATCCTCCTCATTTCTTACCTGGACTGTTGTGATGTCCTCCTAATTGGTGTCCGTGCTTCTGGTTTCTTTCCTCTCCAATTCATACTCCATGTTGTTACCAAAACAATCTTTCTAAAGCACAGTTCTGACCATGTCAACTACCCTGCTCATAAGTCTTCAGTGGCTTCCTGCTGATTCTGTGATAAAATGCAATCTGTTTAGCTTTGTGTTTAAGTATTTCCACAATCTGGTTTCAACCTACCTTTCCAACCATATCTCACATTTAATGTTTTTTTAACCTCTAGGCAATTACTAGCCATTCACCAAACTTCCTCACCACTGTCTTCCTAGCCAAACCTACTTTTCTTCTACTTGCAAAATGATGAAATAATGACAAGCTCTCCCTTAAAAGGGGGCTGAGATAATGTTATGCTATTGTAGTGATAAACTGTTAGAGAAATGCAAAACTCATTAAATAGGTTCTAGGGGCAATGCAGACAAGCTTAGCCAGCTCTTTACTCAACAGCATTCTGCATCATCCAATCAACTCTCAACAATTTGTTATAGCAAAATTTAGCTTAAAGCAACATAGAGCCTGC